GTCGACATGGAACAGAAGGGAGCCTATGCTAGATCAGTTCAATCTATTGCTGATGAAATTGGACTACCAGATTGGCTAGTTGATCTGCGTCACGAGGCCACACATGCGAGCTTGCCGTCCTTGGAAGTGCTTAGGGTCGGGTGTAAGTTTGCGTTGAATTGGCTACGAGACCGCTACTGGGAATCACAGATTGCTGAGTTTCATGAACGATATCAGACATTGCTCACGCTTCTTGGAAAGTATGCTAAACTCTATGAAAGTGTTAAGCACGACAAGAAAACAACAAAGAAAACAGCAAAGAAAACAAAGAATGGAAAACTCGCCCAAGAAATTGCTGATCTAGTTGGTGAATTTGATATGTGGTAAGTTCATATAATAGGAGTATATATTTGATGTGTTTTTAATCCTTTTCTTGTAGTTCAGGCACAAACCACAACAACTTATTAAAAATATTATACAGTAGGTATTCTAAAATTAAAATGAATCGGTGTTTTTTGTACGCAATGCGTACCTATTTTTACTTCTACACTGCAAAAAATGCCCAGCCTGTAACAATGTTGTTTGAAAACAGGCCTGAACAATATTTTGCTGCCCATATTGTTCAGCCTGAACAATATTCTTAACAACCAGGAACAATATGGGCAACAAAATATTGTTGTTACAGGCTGGGAGTTTTTTGTTGTGTACATGAAGTTTTTGGCCAACCGACCACCTGAAAAGACCCAATCAACAACTCTCATTTGATCTGAAATATTTCAATTATTACATTTTCCAGGCAATCATTGCTGGACTTGTCATTTGGAGAACAAGGATTGCTGTTCCCTTCCACTGAAACCCTTCAAGGAATATTTCCTAAATCTGCCGCAATTAAAACAAGAGAAATTTTGTTCGAGTTACCAAAAGATCTTCGGCAGTGGCTGAGCCCGCTTCTCAAAGCATTGCACAAAACAAATGAGCAGTTCTTATCAAATTTTGTTTCATTCCTTGTTAGGAGAGCTCACAAACTTGAACAAAACTTCAGAAATAAACTACTGGCCCATTACCATTCCTGTTTGGTTTATTATATTCTTTGCAACTGCAGTAAAAAGAATATTGAGAAAAAACAATGGAAACTTAAGGTAGAACTCGACTATTTAGCCTTGTTAGAGGTCTGCCTACAAAACCCCTCTGCAAACAGCCAACGTTTTCTGCAATTAATCATTGATAACCTTGAAACTTCAGAAAGCATGAAGGCCAAACTTTATAAGTTTTCCGCCATTAAAATTACTTTGAACAATGACAAAAGCTTAACTAAATTGACAGACAACGAAAATACAGATTTGGAAACTCTACAACAACATTTTCCACTCGTTGCTAAAAAAGTAGAGGCAAGTTTAACTGAGTCAGATGAAGACAGCTCCGTCTGGAAACAATGCCCGCCATCTTTCGCCCATAATTATAAATTTGGAGCATTTATCGGCGAAGAACCGTTGCAGAATCAAACGTTGAATCAAATGAATGATGAGGCCATGGAAGTGGAAACAAATTTCGACGACGGGACCTCCATAGAACAATGTGAGCAAGGAATAGCAGAAGAAGAAGGGGATGATAGTTCTGAAAATGAATTTGAAAATGATCTGAATGAAATGTCGGAAATATCATGTGGCTCTGAAACGAGTGATACTTCAGCAGTGAAAGAATTGACTGCAGAAATGATTAAAGACATTAGTCAAAACATTGCCATCTTTTAAGAACGAATAAATAGAGGATTTTAATGATATTTACATTGCTAATTGTAAGCACTTTCAATTCCGTCATCTCAGCTCAGTTGGAATGCTTTAGGACTTGCGTTAATTGATCTTACTTTGTGAGTTTAAGAAGAATCTACTGCTGGAAAAATTAAAGATATATTACTTCTTCTCCATCGTTTTCTGTTGTTTCCAATTCTAGAAAAGAAAATATTATGATTATATAAAGTGAGCAATGGTTCTGTCTACTAGAGACGGGTCAAAACGCATTGTGGTTGATAACTCTTCTTAGTTGATCTTATTGTAACAGCTAGCTAGGTTTAGGCAAACATTGTGTAGTGCAAATCGTCCTTTAAACGGGTCAGTATACACTAACCAATATTATTCGCACGGGCCCAGACGTCAGGATTTTGTGTGATGTTCGTATTTAGAGGCAAAAGCGTAGTGCTGTTTGGGTGGTTTTCTGGTAACTCTGCTTCGCCATTCACTTCGGCAACTTCACTTTGACCAGTGGTTGCATTCTGTTCTACAAAATCTTGCGTGTTATTTCCATCTTCATACTGGTTAGCCAGAATATTCGCAAGGGCCCAGACGTCAGGATCTTGTGTGATGTTCGTATTTAGAGGCAAAACCATGGCGCTGTTTTGTTGGTTTTCTGGTAACTCTGCTTCGCCATTCACTTCGGCAACTTCACTTTGACCAGTGATTGCATTCTGTTCTACAAAATCTTGCGTGTTATTTCCGGCTTCGTACTGGTTAGCCAGAATATTCAATCCTGCCCTGTTCAAAGAACCATTTTCAACTCTGTTATTCTCTTCTTCAATTGAGATACAATCATCATCTTCGACACCCGAAGAACTGTCTGTTTCTACAAAACGAAATATTTCTCTTGAAATGTTTAGAGTGAAGCCTTCCCCGCACTCTCAGAATTGACTAGGCTAAAAACTTTATTTATACTGGATATATCAGTTTTAAACTGTTCCAGGTAAATGATGTTTTTTGTTGTATTTTTTTATCCAGTGTTACCACAGAAGGAAACCAGAGTACCAAGAGGAAACATGAGATGGTTGGTAGAGTCAAACTGGAAGCATTCTTCTTGCATAGGACCGAGATAAAATTATTATCACTACAAACTTACCAGTTGACAGAAGCTCACTGTCAATTTCTAACGCTTTATTTTTCGCGTTCTCCGCTAGTGCAATATTTCCTGCGTCCAGCGCTACAAAATGAATATCCTAGAATAACAATAATTGAAGAATATGATTATAATTTATGACAAGAATACCAATGAACAGCCACAATGACAGCGTCAACCATTATCATCATCATCACCACCATCATCATCACCACCATCATCATCATCATCATCAACATCATCATCATCACCATCATCATCATCATCATCACCACAATCATGATCACTTAATCACCATCAGCACCATCGCCAGAAACAACATAGTTACCATAAATAAGTCAGCAGCCCCAATATCAACCGCAAGCATGAACGCTTTCTGAAACTTTTTATACCTAGAACGATACGAACATTAGGAGCAACGAAAGGGAAGACCTGAGTATTTTCAAGTAACTATTCAAGTTGTAACAACGATGTAAGAAAACTAAGGTGCTGTCAACCATGACAACCTAATATTCTCCTAAGTAAATGAAGGGCTCAAAATGATTGAGGGTTACCTCAGTAGATGGTAGAAAAATCTTCTCGACCACCGACTTAATGGTTCACGATACTGGAGAACAACTACATCGTTGATCGGCCTGGAAGGTGTGTAGAAACAGCCCAAAGTTTCTTCCAGTAAACCTAGATAAGTAAGAAACTAACCTTATTTGTACTGGATAGCTTTATTATATCAGTTCTAAACTGTTCTCCCTTGAGGTCCAGTAAGGATCATCTCTTATTGTTACTACAGGAGGAAACCTAAACTAACTTTATTTATACTGGATAGCTCTATCAGTTCTAACTTGTTCCCGAAAGAGATCCAGTAAGAGTCATTCTTTACTAATCCATTCTAACTACAGGAGGAAACCTAAACACCTGGAGAACAACTGCAGTGTTTGGCAGAGTGAAAGAGCTCTTCTCACTAAGGTGAAATTATAATGGAACAACAACATATTGCAGCAATTAAATCCGCGTCAGAAAAGTGAAATTAGGCACAGGAACTAACAACTGTACGGCCAACACCACAAGACTAACCTTCCCTCTTATCAGTTAGTGGAAACTTCAATAAATAATTCATCACAGCAGAAAGACACGCAAAGCAAGAACTGCCATCATCATTCCAGTTGATACTGTTCACGAAATTCACAGCTTGTTCAGCTTGGTTATGTTTAATGTATTCTTCAATAACCTCTCGAGGCCCAATGCGACCAAGAGTGAGTGAGCCCAGCTCTATCCTCAAGTTACACAGCAAGCCTCTATATTGGAAACAAGATTATACAAGACGACTGGTTTACACCTCCAAGTTCTTTTCAACAGTGGTTGATCACAATTATAGCATGGTTTCTCAAAACACTGAGTATTTGACGATGTTCCTTACCCATCTTGAAACACCATGAACATATTATCACTGCAAGCCACGTCACCATCACTTACAAAATTGAGAGGGCTGTCACATGACCATACTGCATGGGACAGTTTAATATCTCTGAAAGGCAAATCACACATAGCCAGTGAAACATGAATATTTATACTGGATAGCTAGCTTTATCAGTTCTAAATTGTTTTCCGTTCTTCCTAGAGGTCCAGCAAGGACTATCTCTTATTGATCGAGTGTTATTACAGGAGGGAACCTAAACTAAGCTAACTTTATTTATACTGGATAGCTCTATCAGTTCTAAACTGTTCTTCCTAGAGGTCCAGTAAGGATCATCTCTTATTGATCCAGTGTTACTACAGGAGGAAACCTAGAACTTTATTTACACATGCCAATAGCTCTATCAGTTCTAAACTGTTACCTTCAAAACTGACCTAAAATATTCGGACATTCGGAAAATTCGCGATTCATTTTGACCTTCGCCAGCAAGTTGGAGGAGAACTGGTGCCAACGCCATATCAAAAACCTACAAAAAGCAATGTTCCAATGAATGTTCTTTTTCTCCCCACAAACTATTGTAGTACGACTAACATGAACTGCCTAGTACCTGGATATCGCCTTGTAGACTAAAAATAAAGACAACTGAACCGACTGGATGCCAAGCTATTTCAGATGGAACCTAGAAACATGACATTTAAGACATTTTACGTGAGACCTCTGTGACCCAACCCGGCTGTCCTGGACAGCTTGTTCACATTGGCAATTATTTCAATTTATAAAGTTCAAAGAATAAACTAACAATACATACAAAAGGTATATTTCTTCTTTGCGTCACCAGTCTATGACAATCGTACACAACCTAGGAAAACAAAACCAACAGTCGCTTTCAAATACTCTATCATGTCATGGGAGGTTTTTTTTTCACTGTCATGGGAGGTCTTTTTAAGCACTATCGTGCAGAAGATGGTGGTCAACTTGCAGTTATCAGAGTGAGGAAACGATGTTCATTCTTTTCATTATATGTAGTAGTCTTGTATTTGGTGGCAAATAAATAGAATTGAAAGATGTAGTTGATTGAATTTGCTATCTGCTACAGGTGTGAAGATTTCTGATGTTCACCAGCATCTTCTGGTGGTAACGGTTACCAAGATCCACCAATAGCGTAACAGCTTACCAAGCTCTTGTCTTTACAGCCCAGTAAAAGTTTGTCCGCTGCTTTATTCCAAGCCACACACGAAACGGCAGCTGCAATGACAATTTATGTCATTTTTATTAAACCACTTTTTACCGTTGGGAAGTTTGCGATAAAATGTTTATACCTTGCAATGAAATAGACGTTGCACTAACTCGGTTCACCTAAAATTAAAAGGAGCAGTCATATCAATCCGCTATTTTTGTACGTAAACCTCTGAGAATAAGCTACAGCGGTTTGTATCTGAACAGTTTTGAAAAGATAAAAAAGATTTCGACGATTCAACTGACGGAGTTTCATCTTTCCATCATTTATCTATGTTGGACTCCACGAACTTATAACTAGTTTCCTTACACCATTTTTGTAAAATTCGTAAACACAACTATCGATCGTATTATCTCCTTCATTCTTTGGTGTGGATTCAATTGTAAGAATGTGATGTGGGTTTTGAGAACTGAAAAAAATAAATTGAGAGACGTCAGATCATCTCTTATTGATCCAGAGATTTTACAGGAGGAAACCTAAACTAAACTAACTTTATTTATACTGGATAGTTGTATCAGTTCTAAACTGTTCTGCCTAGAGGTCCAGCAAGGATCATCTCTTATTGATCCAGTGTTACTACAGGAGGAAACCTAAACTAAACTAACTTTATTTATTTATACTGGATAGTTGTATCAGTTCTAAACTGTTCTGCCTAGAGGTCCAGCAAGGATCATCTCTTATTGATCCAGTGTTACTACAGGAGGAAACCTAAACTAAACTAACTTTATTTATACTGGATAGTTGTATCAGTTCTAAACTGTTCTGCCTAGAGGTCCAGCAAGGATCATCTCTTATTGATCCAGTGTTACTACAGGAGGAAACCTAAACTAAACTAAACTAACTTTATTTATACTGGATAAATCTATCAGTTCTAAAGTGTTCTCCCTAGAGGTCCAGCAAGGATTATCTCTTAGTGATCCAGTGTTACTACAGGAGGAAACCTAAACTAAACTAACTTTATTTATACTGGATAGCTCTACCAGTTCTAAACTGTTCTTCCTAGAGGTCCAGCAAGGATTATCTGTTATTGATCCAGTGTTACTAGAGGAGGAAACCTGAGTTCTCGGAGAAAACTTGTGGTGTTTTGGTAGAGTCAAACTGGAAGCACTCTTCTCACATGTGACTGAGGTGAGATTATAATCAGACAACTGTATTTTGCAGATTGAATTGAACACATTTTACCTGAATGCGGCGTGTATTGGATCGCATTCCGTACGTAAATAAGCCAACACGTCAAATTTCCCGCTAAAACAAATGTATTATCTTGGTTAACATAAAACGTTTTCCGAAACTGTAGTTCCAATTACACGCCCCTTTGTGACAGAGTTGATTCTCAGTGTAGGCAGTGGTCTTGAAATACACGTCCTTTGTGGTAGATTCTCACTAGTCTAAACTTCAAACTGTTGGTTCTCAGTGTAGGTAGTGGTCTTGAAATACACGTCCTTTGCGATAGATTCTCACTAGTCTAAACTTCAAATTGTTGGTTCTCAGTGCAGGGACTAATTCTTACCCCTTTACACCAATGAGAATTACATTGGCTCTTGCTCTATCTCCAGCCACAGGGGACCAAGGCCAGGCCTCCTCACTCGCTAATGACCACCATATAGAGACCATGTCTTTACTTGTGTTCAAGCTCAGGCAACGATTCAGCCTTCCCCCCACTTGACCAGGCAGGTCAATAAAACTAATCTGAAAAAATGGTTATGGCAGCTTAATGGTGAATACAATTGCTCCCAGAAAGGAAGTCACCTTGGCTAAAAGACGCACCTTGGGTTCTAACACTGCTAATTTCTCAAGCTTCCTGAAATCTGTTGGTAGCTTGCGAGCAAAGTTGATACAACAGATTTTCGACTTATCACAAAATGACAGCAACATGAAATCTTCAGCCCAGACACCTACAGCAAAACATAGTTTATCGTGACTGATCTTTGCTTCCACCCAACAGGAAAATGAAATGTACCTCACACAGAGCCCACCTGCATTAATTTTGTCTGTGAGTTTGCCACACAGGGATTTATCTATGAATATCTTTCCCACGTCACCAGAATTCTTAGCAACCATAAATGATATCAGAGTGCAGTTACTTAACAAAACCTGCGATGGAGTAAATAATCTTTTTACTATAATGAAGTTATATCCTCAACTATCATCATCATTTTGAGCCAAGTGAATAAAGATAAGCATTGTTATATAGAGGCGACATTTATGAAATGCAATTTCAGATTTATGCAAGACCTGTAGGGTTACAGTATAAGATGAATTGCATGAATAAATGGAGACAAGATATAACAATCCAAACTGCATCAAAATTTAAGCAGAACAATAGACAACTTGCATGTTAGACTAATTTTTGATTTAGGCAAAAAAAAGTACATTTCTGTAAAGAACTTATTAAAATTAGTAAAATTGCAAAATGCTTTACAGTCAACTCGGCCCATCGTTCAAGGACCGACTCCGCTGCTAGCGCAAACTGACTAATCTAACCATTAAACAAGCTAGAAGCCATGACTGCATTCTATCTTTGCAAATTTTGAGAGAGATTTGAATGATCAGTAATTTAGAATCAAAACGGACAGATCGAGAATTTGAAACTTCGATAGATTCTTTAATTAAATTAAGTCAAACTGGATGTTCTGAAACTTTATTCATCTGTACGCCCAATGCAACTGTGAATGGCTGTATTGGTTTGGTGCTATCTTTTGTAAAATATTAGCTTTCCAAATATGTCAAACAGTAGTTAACAATTGGGCCAAGATGGTATGGGCCAAGTGTAACATAACCTATAAAGGAGAAAATTAGACTCCACTAGGCGAAATTTTTCGACTGAATCCAAATTTTCTTTTGTCTTACAAGCACTCAGATGGAACTAAACAGAAATTTTCGAATTTGAACAATAGAAATTTCGATTCGGTTGAAAAATTTCGCCTTAGTGGAAAACTGCCTTTATAGGCAAATTTCTACTGTTCCTTCTTAGATGCAAACTATGGTAGCAAGAATGATTGAATTAAACTACAAATCGAAATTCATACTTGAATGAATCTTGCACTGCTCCAAAGAACTTGCACAATTTGAGAAGCTTGAATCATTTCCTTGAAAGAAAAATTCCAACATATTAAACTTTTTTCCAGGAGCGAGTGAATTAACACCAATAATTTGCATGTTTATTAACTTAAAGATTATCAAACCTCAACTTCAGTTAAATTATCTTTGAGTCTTTCTGGTCTCTTATTTTTCAATGTCCACGCCACATTTCGACCTAGAAATTTTAGAAAATTTTCCAGTTGCCTCATTTGTTTGTGACTGAAGATCTAATAATAAAGCCTGAATTTAAAGGTTGAATTTGAAGGTCGAATTTAATTAAAGGCTGGATTTAAAGGCTGGATTTAAAGGCTGAATTTTAATAGCAAATAAAAAAGTGAGAAATTATAATAAACAGCAGCATACTTTCTTCCCATTTTTGTCTGCTTTGACTGCATAGGTCATCCTTGCTGCCTATATTAGATGAGGAAAAGTTTATATAAAGAAAAAAAATTGTAAGTACAAGCTAAACATCAGTCCAGAATAACAGAGCTTTCAGGCTATTCTGAGTAGGTGGCTGTATTGATAAAGTAGGCAGCTGTGGGTAGCGCGGTCTAGGGAGTTTTTAAGTCAACCAAATTAACTATAGACATAAGCAGCCCTCCCCCCATCTGAGCCACAGGAGCGTTATTTTTTGCCGTTTTGGGAAGGAGGAGCGGCGTGGACGCTAACATTTCATGTTTTTATGGCATGAACACATTTAATAGGCTTGTGCTTCAAAAAAGGCGGAAAAAAAACTTCGGAAAGGCAATTTTCTGGTGAACTCAAATTTCAAAATTTCCCCCATGGGCGCGCCAACCGGCACCTCGTGGACGCTAACCTAAGGAAATTACCTTCCCGCATAAAATTTTTCAAAACTTGACAGGGGCACCGGGGTAACCTGAGTATCAGGCTCTATTTTACAAATAGAGCCTGACACAAAACTTAACCTGATCGCTTTCCACCCACAGCAAAGTTTATATTTAGTATCCAATCAAAATGTTGCAGGAGAAATTTAAATTTCACACAACGACAACAACAATCTAATTATAGCATAGGCAGCCCACTAAACGGCTGAATTTAAATTAAAACTGCAATGAACTTATAAAATTAACAAAAATAATCACAAATTAGCGAAATATATTGCAAATGTAGCTTATATTAAATCGCCACCCGATTGCTCTCTCCTCCGCAGAGGTTTCAGTGACTACAATGAGCTTTACATGGCGCTTGCCGTATTTATCAACAAACAGTGACATATAATTATAAAGTATATATATATATATTAAGTATACTTTATAACTATACGTCAGTCGATAGTGCAATCTGATGGCGATTTAATATAAACTACATTTGCAATATATTTCGCTAATTTGCGATTATTTTCTAACTTTACTGCAGTTTTAATTTAAATTCAGCCGTTTAGTGGGCCGGCTATAATTGTAGTTGTGAATTGTGATCGTTATAAAATATATCAACAACAATAGTATAATCTAATTAGCACCAGCCAATCAAATGACAGATTTAAAAATCGTTTGTCTAATCGGCCAATCAGCGCTCAGTCCAGATTCTGGACTGAACAACCAGGCAAAATGCCACTTTTGTGTCAGGCAGTACTTTTCTCCCCTTCGCCCACGATCAGGCGTGCCTGTGCCCTAAAAAGTACGGCCTGATACTCAGGTTAGCACCGGGGTGCATTGGGTACGTAACAAATCCAGGGCAGAAATTACCCATGTTAATTGACAAATTGTCAGTTTCTAGCTACAAAAGTCATACAAGTCTCAACCAGTTACCTGTAGTTTTATCGTGATATATATGCACACCAAGATCATCTATAAAAACCAAAACCAAAATCAGAACCCAAAGCATCCCAACTGTTACAAATTAAAAGTTCTAAACAATCTTGCCCTTACCACATTTTTCTGCATGTCTTTTAAAAGTCCATGCGTGTAAATGTCCCCATAAAGTTGCAGCCATTGCCACTAGTTTAACCGTAAAGCATCACAGTTGCAGCCTTGATCATAATGTTATTATATATCAAGACATTTTGGTATTAAACTGTGAAGTTGTGAACGACAGAACGAGGTATAGTAAAGTATAGTATTTGTATAAAATCAACCCATGCGTCACATTTTTATTGTAAACAGATGTTTATTAACACCAAATAGACAAATAAACATTAAAAACCACTATTTTCTGTTTTAATACCGTGGTTGCTTTGAGACAAATAAACAAATAAAGTCAACGAACCCTAAATAATATAAAACTTTATACTATTTGCTCTGCCATACCCCCCGTCTCATAAATTTGGTACGTCCTCCCCCCTCTTTTACAACCAAAATATTATGCTAATTATTCAGGGTATTTTTTGTTAATTGTTCTAAATTATGATAATTATGTTCCATAGATAAATTATGTAAAATCTGCAAACTTTGAGTAGAATAATTATCATAAATTTGAGTACTAATTATTCTAATTAGCTAATTTATGCCATACGTTGATTATTCGTATTTATACCAATATGGCTGATTTCACGTGCATTTTAATACTTTTGCTAATTTGATCGCTTTGATGTAAAAAATACGAAGTCACAACTGAAAAGATACGTCTAATTAAGGAATTATAGTTGATGAACTCGTTGAAAATGTCAAATCCTGGCAACAGCAATCAATTACAAACTGCAGAAGGGCAATTAAAGTCTTGCCTTCGTATGTTACAAAATGCTTCCACAGACAACGAAAAAATGGCTGCTTTGTTGCTGTTTACTCATTTAATGAAGACCAATCCAGCACTCACCGTGAACTCCAACGAGTTATTCAAAGCAGTAGATGTCAAATTCCTAGTCCGTCTTTTAAAGAGCTCCAATGTTCCAGAAGGATGCCCTGATTACATGTTTAAATCTTTAGCACTAAATATTCTTAGCAGTTTCACTGAAGGTGACATACTGTTTCACCCTTTATTGCTTTCAAATTTAGGCTCAATTGCCGAAGTGCTTTCGATGGCTAGAACGGCAGCCGAAACGTCTCAAATATTTGACGATAGTGTTGCGATACTTTTAATATTCTCCAGAAGTGCCAACGGTTGTGAACACCTTTTAAAATCAAAGTGTATCCCCACCATTTGTAAGGCAATTATCCAAAACCACGAGGACGATAAATTGTTTAATATTTTGCGAGGGATTCTTTTCCATTTACCGCAGCATTCCTGGGCACAAAATTGTTCAGATCTTTCAGAAGTATCGATGTTCTTTTCCGCCCAGTTTGCCGAAAACCAAGATCTCTTAAAGTTCACAGCTTGTGAAAAATTGTTAGCTTTACTATCGAGCTTATGTGAATCACAACTTAGTGTTAATAACAGTAAAATATTTCCCCCCAAACTGAAGGACGAAATAAGGAGAGGTCTTAATGATATTCTGCAAGCAAGGTGCAAAGTGGAATTCAAGTACACTGCGATAAAGTTAACAAAAGTCATGATTGAATTATTTGGCCTTGAGTGGACAGTCATTAACACTTCCGAGAAATCGGTACTCGACATGTCAAGTACTAAATTTTTGCTTCTGGCATTAAGCATTATTCAAACTGAAGTAAGACTAATTCTTGAAAGTGGCCAAATTGATGCCAAATCAGATTTCATTGTTTCTTGCTATGTAATAATCGAGAAAACAATCGAATTCTTGATTTGTGATAAGGAACAGGTTAATTCATTCAGCAATGAAGTCATCATGAAAATACATTCATCACTCACAGAGACATTTGACTGTGTTCTTCAGTTTCTGATTGGCCTTGGCTCTCAAGAAGCAATCGGACAAACCCCATGCTTCCAAGTACCCATCGTCATTGCGACAGTGCGAGTGCTCTGTGTCTGGTTATCAGAAGAGACAAATGCATTGACTGATAAAATTGCACAAGTCTTACCAATCCTCTTGAAGTGGACAAAGCTTGGTCAAACCAGTGCAGGTAAGCAATTGATCATCTGCATTGATGCACCCCTGACCCCCCCCCAAAAAAAAAAGAAATAATTTGTACTCCCCTTGGCAAATCTAACATCAATCTGCCCCTACATACCATTTCCCATCAACAGGGTTCATTTCCATTTCTAGTAGGAAAAAAGGTATCCCCTGCAAAACATACTGGATAGCTCAATTCTAAACTGTTCTCCCTAGCTTGCCTTTGTCCAGTAACAGACATCAATAAATGGTCCAGTATTAATGGTGAAGTACTCAACTGTCAAAGTGGAAACACGTCTGTTCTCACATTGATTGAAGTGAAATTATAATCAGACAACTGCATATTGTAGGAATGGAACCTCGGTCACAGAAGCGAAAGGTTAACAACTGTACCACAAAACAACCATAACATACAAAAACAAAGCTAACGCCTAATTTTACCCTCCTTTTATCCACCTCCAGGTGAAGACAACCTTCCTACAAATGACTCGACTCCAAACAACATCCTGCTCTGTCTCTTACCTCCACTCTGCCACCTTTCTGCCGACGAATCATTCTGTGCGATCCTTGTCAAAGAAGATTGTCACGTTCTGCTTGCAAACCTCTTTAACACACTCTGGCAAGCACAACAAGTAGAAAGAGTCGACTACCCTTCCTATTTGATTACCCTCTGCAATGTCTTCTTAAATGTCTCAGTCTTGGAGGTTGAGTTGGTTAAAACAAGTCAAGAGTTTGGAGACATCTTGGAGTCAATTATGAATGCAGTTCCGAAAATGGTTGACGCAAACTCTACAACGCTAACAGCACATTTTGGACTGCTTGGCCTGATACTGTTCAGGCATAGATTCAAGTTAAACACTCCACAATTAACCGTTATTCAGAATGACTTTATTTTAAATAGCATCAACTTCCTAAAACAAGTCCATTTATCAGTAAGCGCAGACGAAAGCAATCCACTTATTCATTGGAATGATATCTCTGAACTTTGGTTTTTATCTCTTCAAAACCTGGTCGCATGTGCCAAAACTATCGAACCAGTGAAAAAGCTCATTCTTGATTCGAGTTGGCCCAAGGAGATTAAAGTATGGATGAACAATTGTAATCATAGCAGTAATAATTTATTTCAAGATTTAAAATCAGCACTCTTGCCCATAGCGAACCTGGAGTAATTTGGAATGTGGGATTTTTTCATATGAACTGTTAAACTAAAATATAGTTGATTTAGTTATGTCTATATGTACACACATTTTGTATTGTTGCTGTTCAAAATATGTTTCATTTCTTTTATTTTATATGTTTCTGTACTGGAGACGTTAAATGTCTTAAATGCGTTGAGAAAAGCAGAAATTAAGGGTGCCGCCATTTGTGTCTGAACTATGTGAGAAAGACTAAAAGCACTTTGTTTTTGACGTTTTGACTTTTGAATAGAGACCCTTCTCGTCCAGACGTTAGAAAAGTTACGTTGCCTTTAAAGGCACAGTTCGGCCTTTTGAACGATGGTTTTTAAGGCGCAATTCAAGATCAGCAAACTTTATGTTTTTAACATTTTAAAACATTTTTATTGTTAAAAATATTGAGTTTACTGACCTTGAATTGTGTATAATTGATTTTCCTAGTTAGTTTTTTCAATTAAAAGGGCTGAAATGCGCCTTAAAAACCATCGTTCAAAAGGCTGAACTGTGCCTTTAAAACATATGACCACTTGAGGCGAAGTGTTTTCAATTTTTTCAGACAGTTCAGACACAAACCATAGCAGATGCCTACGGATCTCACTAGATTGGTTTGCAACCCACATTTTCATCACTGGATAAAATGGACAAATTTATACATCATTTAGCCTTTCAGGCGATAAGATTAAATAGCCTCAATCACCGTAACTTTCGTTACAAGAATTTAACAAGGAAATAGAGTTAGGTTTTATACATAAGCTATCTTCACTAATCTACCTGACCTCTTTATACAACTGGAGCCCACGTGATGTAACTCTATTATCCAGCTTTTCCAAGTTCGATTTTTTCTTTCAAGACCTTCGAGGAATGATAAATTAACGAATCAACGAGACCAGCCACTAGGGTTTAAAACAACACTGGTGTTACAATAGGAAAATCGAGAAAAATATGGGTCAAAACATTGGATAACTGGACAGCATGGAGAAATGAGGGATTTTCAAAACAATGAAAAGACGATGGACCATTTTGATCACTGGATCATGACTAGATGGCAATGAATGTAAAACGGTTCTTACCATAGATATCTTATATATACACTAGATAGTGCATCTAATTATTCTGCAATTCAAAAATTGAAGCCGTGATTGCAGACTCAGGATATTCCCATGAAATGAGAAGACTCGTATGTTTTCTATTTCTTAAACAGGGAACTTAAACATTAAGTTAAACCTATTCCACATACGTTTTCAAACTATTCAAATGATAAAAGTTTTTTGTTTTTTTAAGCGTTTATTAGCGAGTGGGAAACATCTATTCAAATGGGGTAACCGCTGGAATATTCTTGGCTTCAATTTTACTAAAAGAAATGCGCTATCTAGTGTATATAAGATATCTATGGTTCTTACCCGTAAATATTCCGCCAATGATTGCACATACACCAGTGAGAAAATGCATGAATGATCTAAGGTAGAAAAATAGATTGATAACCAAAAGTGTCATTTGATATGATATATATATATTGCTAGATCGCTTGAGTTCTTCCTAATCATTCATCTCTACGACCGAAGTCTGTATGATATATATTAAAAGACTCATTGATAATTTATGAGCCGAAAAAGACAAAGGAAATCACTGCTGCGTCGGAGGTTTTATATGTGATAAAAAATCATGTTCATTTACATAAACTTTAGCTTCGATTTGATTTTCTCGGCTTAGACGTTTATTTTTAAAATTTCTTTGCCAATGAACACATAAGATGGGTCGATTTTTAAGCCATTTAAAACACTCGCAATTCGTGTTTTATCAGATATAAAACGCTCGTACTGCGCACTCGTGTTTTATATGTGATAAAGCACTCCTCCTCGTGTTTTAAATAGTACAAACAGAAATACAGACGTTCAAACTTAGGTATTACCTTCTTTTTTCTGTATATTGAACCATCATTGGAGAAAACTCATACAAGACAAACACACCTGAAAAACAAACTAAGCTATACACAGCGTGTCCACCCTTTGGTGAAGGTGAAATTCAAGGACTTTCCAGGACTTTCAAAGCCCTTTTTCAGTAAATTCAAGGACCTAGAACTTGGAAAAATCTTTGAAAATGGCACGGATTTGCCCAGCAAATATTCAATAATTTTAATCAAAATCATTAATGTTGGCACAGCTGGAGGTTAAGGAAATTAATTCCAGGACTTTCAAGGACTTCTACTGATTTTCAACGAATTTCCAGTCCTGGAATTTTTTGGTTTCCAGTTCAAAGACTTTCCAGGATTTTCAAGGCCCGTGGACACCTTGTACACATATAGTAATTGAACTAAGCATGCGCACTACATTCAGCGGATAGCGTTCAATCGGCAGTTTTCAGAATAAGAAAAGTATTTCCTACCAGGGAGACCGTTTGCACCAGTGACTTGTTTCACTGTCCGACGATGTTTAGTCACACTGAACTGATTCGTATGTACAATCTGGAATAACAAAAAGTCAATGACTTATACTGACCGAGCAACTCAACCGTGGCGTAATGTAGAGAAACACTCTCATGTGATCTATTACCTCGCCATTCAATTTCTTGTAGACAGTTGGAACAATCTTGACAAAATATTGATACATACTGCCACCTGGGAAAATTCGTAAACGGTCAAATATATAGAGAATAATGGGTGCGCGGAAATACCAGATTTATATTTCGAGTGTTGAACATGATACCTCACGAGTGAGCGCAGAGAACGAGTGAGATATCACGTTCAACACGAGAAATAAATCTGGTATATTTTATTATATAAACAAAATTCAGTGAAAAACAATAAAACGTCCGTCGCAATGCGTTTTACAACAAATGATATAAATTTTTCACACGTAAAAATATCGTATTTTTTTACGTGTGTTTAAATACGATTTTTCTCAGTGGCCAAAACCTCTATATAACACTTATGTTTATATAATAAATGATCCCTATAATTTCTGAAGCAAGGTTATGTTTGTATAAAAATGAAGTGTGAAAAAAATCTGTATTGAAATACGGGTATAAAGTAGCCTACATTTACCCAAGATTAGTAAGGCCTGTTTTATACGTCGAATTTCGGTCGCGTCGAATGCAATTCAAACAATAGATAATGAAACTTAATGAGGTTTATCATCTCATTATCTATTGTCTTAATTGCAGGGCCGTATGCAGGATTTTTTCACCAGGGGGGGCAGTCAGGCCTTTATGCCGAAAAAAGTCCCAAATATCCAAAGAATAATTAATAATAACATTCTAAGAATCGTAAAGACAGTTTTATCGAATAAATTGGTATCGTAGTATAACCCCCTGTCTATAATGCATGATTCATCTTTCCCCCTTGAAGAGTGAAATCGTCTGGTGTTAAACAGAGTGAAAAACTTACTTTTATCTGCAATAACAAGAGTGCCGTCCAAAGGATTTTTAATTCCTGGGTATTTTTCACCAAATGATAAATGCTTTATGTGATGAGTGAGATTAAACTATACAAAATAATCAAATTTTGTTTGAAAAATAATCGAGAACCTCTTTTTACCATTTCACACAGACACACACTCGAGTGAAGTAAAATATCCCTAACCTGTTGGCCACCAAATGGTTGCAGATCATGCACTAAAAAGATAAAGTTTCAAACATGAAGTTAGTTTTAATCTTAAACGACATTGGCAATAAAAAATTAGTTTAGTTCATTTCGGTCTAAATATTTCGAGAACTAAGCAAGATATGACAAATCGGCAATAGAGTTTAATATATAATTTTAAGAGTTCTTTTGAATGAGACAAACTTTTTTTTATTGCCAATGTCCTTTATTAATTTATTAAGCACGCGGCTCAAGAGCATTTATAGGCAGATTATTTTTACAGGTGCAATTTAGTTAAAACGGTTTTCATTTAATAGTATGGTTAGATTTCCATTTATTTTTAATTATTTATGGTTAGTTTAATGATTCGACACTTACTATTTATTGTGATAATATTTGATTTTTTAAGCTTTAACAGTGCAACTAAAAACACAAAAATTGACAATTTATCTGCAACAATTTAACTAATTATATGTAATTACGTTCATGCAATGACATATTTTAAAATGTTTTATAATTAACTTTTAATTGATAATTACGATGTCGCGATATGCACGTTTTAATTTGGTTATTTTTATGTTTAAATAATAATAAATTGTATATAATAAGCTAGCTATCGAAATGAAAAACAAATGGGCGAGTGCATCAAGGCCTAATTCCACGATGGCAAAATTCTTCGCGAAAAATTGTGTCGGATGGTTCGGTGACGTCACGGGAAAACGTGCACAGAGGACTAGGAACTAGTCTGGGATTGTTATAGCGGTGTAGTGGACTGGAATACAGGCTGGGTTAGGCTAGGCTGGCATTCTCGTACCCAGAGCCCTTCTTACGCGCGGTCAACGGAGCGCGACGAGGGGGCTGGCCAAATCCATATCAAACTGCCATCTGATTGGCTACAACGAAGGTTATTGTTCTAATACCAGATATATTCTTTTACCATGTTTTTATGGTATCCGGTTATGGATTTGGCCAGAGCCCCTCGTCGCACCGCGCGTAAGACGGGCTCTGGGTACGAGAATGGCTAGGGTGGTTGTAGACCTATCTCATTCCAGTGCCATCGTACGAGATTGACTTCTACTCACAGGCAAAGCTATAACTTTTTTCTTGCAGAGCTCGTTTTTCTGCGTATACCAAGAAAACCACTCGTGGAATGAAGCCTCAATAAACATTTTAAACTTACCATGTATATGCTGTTGTTGAAAACTTTTTCCAGGAGCAAAATGAAAATTGCCTGCTACCTAAACGACAAAAGAGTGTGGTTTAGGTGTGCTGGTCTGAATTTTGAAGCAAGAGTTGAAAGCGTGTACCTTTGTGACCTCGAGATAGCCATGAACTTCACAACCTTCGTTTTTCTGAGATTCCAACTTCACTTTCCAACCTTCACGAGAACACTAGAAATATCAAATACACTTCTTTCTTAAATGGCAGCCAACTGGTGTATATAGACCCATTGCACTGACGTCACAAATCCTTAGAGTGTCCTCCAGATGCTCCCTAACAATATATGTTCGGGTACAACAACCACATACAGTGCAAAAATTAACCATTTTAATACAAAATTATTATAAAGTTTTACAAAATTTGCTTTGTTTACAAAAGTTTAATGATGCATAGATTGCTAATTTGTCCTCCAGATGCATCGTTACTGGCGCTGTGACGTCATGTGCAATGGGTCTATAGCTGAGGACTCAGGCATGACTTCTTTTGAATAAACACTTCCGGAAAGTATGTCATCCTGGCTTTTGAGCCTCGTTTTCGTCATTGAGTTTCAACTAATGCCACATACATGAAACCAATTGATGATTCCCCTTATTACGTTTTCGTACCGCTTTGCATTGTGGTTATAGTGGTATCACTGATATTCAAGATGGCTTATTTTTTGTCCTGACCCGTGCAAGAACTTTTAAAAAAGCTAGGGACAGGTGCGCGATAGCCAACAGCAAAATTTTCGCGAAAACATTCAATATTTTCATTCGAGGCCGCTATCTTTATCAGTGATACCACTATAACCACAATGCAAAGCGCTACGAAAACGTAATAAGAGGAATCATCAATTAGGCTCTATTCTCAGGGCTCAAAATAACGGCCGGTCAACGGACAATGACGGGCCAAAAATGTCCCTTGAACCGGTCACTTTTTTACCTCACCGGTCATTTTTGACCGGCCACATTTTCATGCCTTCCAATGTGATTGCTGATGTCTTGAATTAAAACATGAAACTATGATGTATCGAAACAAGTTTCTAATAGTTTGTTCCCTTGTCAATGACCGGTGAAAAACAGATTTTGACAGAGCTACAATCAAGTTGACCGGAGGCCTATCTCCCGTTCTTTTGAGCAGTGTCTACACTCAATATCACGTACTTTCAGGAAGGTTGTCTTCTTTTAAAAATACCTGAGTAACTGAATCGGGATCTTTTAACGCCCATCCTTTCCTGCGGTACGCATCCTGCACTTCGGCACACGTGTTACAACATCTGGGAAATGTTGAAAATGGACATTTTATTCCTAATATGACACAATTCAGGCTCTGTTTTCACAGCTTGGAACACGCTATCTACAGATTCTGCTAGAATTTACGCATGACTACGATAAACTTACGGTTTTTCAATAGTTTCTGCTCCAAAGCAACTTTCACACCTGTCCTTAGCAAGCTAGCCAGGGAAACAATGTCAGAAACATTACAATTAACAAATTTTTTCGTACCCTTGCATGGAAATATATAAATATAAAAATATTTGTTCAGAATATTGGGGAAAACATCACCTATTTTTATTTGGAATCCAATTCTGATCCCTAGGTGCGTGAACAAATTGTTTGAATTGTAAAAACTTTAGATGAGAATGAAAGATGAACATGACGCAACTACTAGAAGAACGATTTCTGGATGAATTTCTGGACGTTCCCCCAATTACCACCGATCCAATAAGGCAATATTCAACTCTTCTCAATGGAAAAAAATGTTACCTTCAATATTTCTTTGGCCTCCTCACTCTTGTCTCCCAAACCTGCGCAAAATTAGTTGATATAAAGTTGATTATTACGTTGTTTTGCCTAGTATTAATTTCACATCAAATTCATGTGAACATTGACACACCTTCCTTCTGCCCCTCGTGAGTGTCAATGGGGTTCCCGTGTTCATCCATTCTCTTCTTGAATATATTGTGGTCAACATCGATCTGGTTTATTGAAGTTTGAAGAATGTTAGATATTGATAACAGTTTTATATGTATATCCATTCTCATTCTTGAAAAAGATTAGGAAATATAGTTGAATCCTTCAACCAAGATGCAGTACTTAAGATCATGTTACCTGCTGTTCACCAGAAATGTCCATAGCATCAATGCTTATATCTAGCAAAGAAAAGATCTTTAGGGGACCTACTTCTTAATTAGGCAAGTGCACATATGATCATCCTACACAGCTCTTATATAAGTGAGGCTGTGTAGTTGAAAATTTCATAACAGGGAAAATATCTTGAAAATATCTTGAAAAATATCTTGAAAGATTTTCTCTGCACTTCACTTGGTTGAAACTGGATTTTGGAGCAGATGAATAATTTCAGGGATGGATTTACTGGGGGGTGCCGGGAGGGGGGGTGCACCCCCCTAGCCCTGACCTGAGGGGTGCAGGGGGGGGGTGCTATTTTTCATGATAAAGCAAAAAATTATTAGAGACAAAATGAGATACAGTAATTTGAGCAATAACATGATGATAAGCAAATTGTGAACAACAATTACAATTCAAATACAGTAGTCAAGCAAGACTTAGTGCAGTAGTCAAGTTGATGGGCGGGCGGCACACATGACTGACACAACTCGGCACCAGAGCTGGAAGAGCACCCCCCGTACCAGATCATGCTGGATCCACCCTGAATAATTTACAGTAGTTAATTAAGTACTCGAGTGGAAACCTGAAATTACTTACAAACACAAGGTAACTTAGGAAAATAAACTGCCATGTTGATTCTTGTTTTCTGATCTCGCGCTGTATCAACAAACAGTTCAGGAGAGACCTAGAACACAACATCATTTATGTTTGGGAATCTATCAAAAATCAATGGTCAGGGGGGGGGGCAAGTGGGTGGACTCATGTGAAAAGAGTGTGTCAACACTCTGCTGAAAGTCGTGGGTTTCCTCCCACAGGGAAAGTTGACAGGGTGGGTTAGGATAAACACAGTTAAGAATTAGTAATATCACAATTGTTGTAAAGATAAAGAGTCTGGCAAGTAATATAAGTAAGCATAATATGTGATGTAATCGGTCACTGAAAAGCCGCAATAGGGAGTGAGCTGAGTGGTGTATGTATGTACTATGTAACCAAAGTATTAAGATTTTCCAACAAGTGGGTGCTGTCACGTGGGTGTGCAATTTCTCTTAACATATTGAGCACCAGTGCTCTCCCTTTGAGGAGTAAAATCGTCCCGCATGAATATAAAAGTAAGGTGCATTAAGATGCAATTTCTTACTGAGTTAAGAGAGGGTCTTAACAGGGTTAACAGACTACTGACATTTGCCTGAATTTTTGACTGACAACTGACAAAATATCCTAACTGACAACTGAGAAATGATGAAAAAATGACGAGTCAGCATTTTCCAGTAACTGACTACTGACAGCTTGCAATATATCCCACTGACAACTGGCTTAAATTTTATCTGACAACTGACACCCAAAGACCCCCATTAAGACCCTCTTAAGAGAGATTATAAACTTACATCAACTGATAAATAGTAGCTCAGTTCAGATACAAAGAGCAGAAACATTAGCAAGCCACTAATGACAGTCACTGCAAGGAATGAAAAGAAATTAGTCAAACATTAAGATTGCTCAGGGATTATTATGCCCTAGCTCTACAATCTGATGTCCATGTTGGAAATCAGATAAGTGACATGCATACCCACCCTAAAGGCAGATTTCCATTCAGTGCAAAATGTTGCACAATTGATTTTTTGTGATCACTTTCTTTTGAAATGTGTGCAGTCAACTACAGCTAATGACATTTGTTTCGCTTGACTGTTTGTATTTCAAAAAGAAAGCACAAAAAGTCGATCACGCAACATTTTGCACTGACTGGAAATCCACCTTAACAGGACTGTAAATGTATGGGCTCCACTCTACCCTTCTTTTAATAACCTTAGCACATTTTTTACATCCATGTGCAAATAAATTCTATTAATACAATTTAAACAGTCTAATTTTATATGTCCATACATTCTGGCAAGGAATTTATAAATTTATTAACAAAATTTACCCATCTAACAACAGTTTTATGAAATAAAATTTGAACCCTAAATGGACTAATAAAACTTGTGTGTTGTGCAGTATATATATATGCCACGTTTACATAGCGACCTTTAATCATACATTTTAATAATTAACCAGCCAATTCTCATCAACATTATAAAACCTAGTTAATTACAACTATATAATAATAAGGAACAAATATTCCCACAAAAACTATTACAAACTATAAAGCTTTCTTAACACTTCACTACAAGAATTGTTTATACATTTTAAAATCGACAATAAACAAAGCCACTAACCTGCGCCTCCTCCAAGAGTTTTGACTCGAAAATCTTCAAGCGTTTTAGGGTAAGCATCAAATCTTTTTATCGTATTAAGTATGTCGTTCGTTTGCATTGTGTTTAAATATTTATTGTAGATAAAATTGTTAAATTTCTAACTAAAATTGTACTAATTCTATTAACATTGTCGTTAAATAATAATCCGCCATTTGTAATTATTAATATTCAGACCAGGGGGGGAGGGAAGAGGTAGAGCAAGAGGATACGACGGGGGTTCGAACAAAATTTATGAACCGTTGTTTGCATCAAAGCATGAACACTCGCAGATATTTTCATTTTTCCGTGAAACTTTCAATTTGCCAAGAGCATTTGACAAATTGCTACAAGTTTAATAGTTTCCTTCTCTAGTGACCCTCACTGAACCTTTATGGAGAACAGTTAAGAGTTTAATATACATTGATCCACTTTACCTTAGGTTTAATGACTTTAATTACATTAGACAAACAAGATGTTTACTCCATTTCATGTTGAATATATTTAAACGCCTGAATGTAGTGCCCCACCAAAATAGGTCATAAAGTGGCAGCCTAACCCCTAGGGCTGGTGTGCCCCCTACTTTGTCCTTTATCACTTCTGTGACATGAGTTTGATAACTGCTTGTGCAATCTTCTGCAGTCTAAAGTTTCATGTCGTCTGCACATGTACTTTCTTTGGAGACACCATTTGCCTCCTGACAAATCGCAAATTCACAATCAACATATTGTATTGACATACGATTGTTGACGTTGCTTTTTAGTCTTCAAAATTTGAGTGAGTCATGCTTCGAAAATGACAATAATTTTTTATTACCCAACCCTTGAGTAGTTTTGTGTTTCATTTACCCAACCTTTTACTCACTCAAAATTGTGTTTACCCAACCCTCTTCGATTTCACCCCCGTCACAAACAATGACTGGGATCCTTAAAGCTTGCAATTTTACACTTCAACGACATATACATGTAGTAGTCTTGCATTTTGACGCAAGAATGGGAAGATGAAGCCACGTCAACCAACATCTGCTGGGCTTGCAGTGACAGTCAGCAATATTCATGTTCAATATCAATGTGCCGACACTCATACTCCAACCCACATAGAGAGTGTCCGACTTGACGGAGAACAGGCAATCAGGGATGCCTTATTGAGGAATGAGATTGCCCCAAGTGACTGCGTTGAAAACAGAACATGGTTAGGAACGAACGACAAATCTTGACAACTGTCTGGTTTTAGCGCCAGGTTTTGAACGTCTTCTAACTGGTACAGATTTATCGTGTGGCCTTTTGTGACGACAGCCAAAGTTGCTGAAAGCATAGAAGAGAAATTAGGTGCTGGTGACCAACTGGTCAGTGCTAGGGTTCTATTCCTGCAATATTCCTCATTATAATATCATAACGCTTCACGAATACAGACCTTTCGAACACTTTTCGTCCACATTTTCGACAGCAAACAACCCATGCCCACCGTGTGACACCGGCAGTCTTAGATTTATGACTCGCGATGCCGTAAATAAATACAAATTTCCAATATTATTGGAAAAAATACAAGCACCATTATGAATTCGTTGAAAGTCTAAAAAAATAGAAAATTTCAAACACGGAAACCGGTCAATTGTAGAATACTACCTGCACACTGGACCTCCACGTTTGAGATATCTTTTTCAGGTAGTTCAGACACAAACCACGACAGCTTATTACAGAATACTAACTACACTGGACCACCACGTTTGAGATATCTTTTTCAAGTAGTTCAGACACAAACCACGACAGCTTATTGCAGAATACTACCTACACTGGACCACCACGTTTGAGATATCTTTTTCAGGTAGTTCAGACACAAACCACGACAGCTTATTGTAGAATACTACCTACACTGGACCACCACGTTTGAGATATTTTTTTCAGGTAGTTCAGACACAAACCACGGCAGCTTATTGTAGAATACTACCTACACTGGACCACCACGTTTGAGATACTTTCAGGTGGTTCAAGACGACACAAACCACGACAGCTTATTGTAGAATACTACCTACACTGAACCACCACGTTTGAGATATCTTTTTCAGGTAGTTCAGACACAAACCACGACAGCTTATTGTAGAATTATATACTATCTACACTGGACCAACGTTTGAGATACTGATCTTTTTCAGGTGGTTCAGACCAACACAAGCCAAGGCGGCTTAAACTGTTTTAAATTTGTAACAAGTTACCTTGACATGTGACTAGGCTTGTTCCCGCATCAAATGATGGTACTGAACAAAAGGTGTCTTTAAACGTAGAGAGTGGTTCAGATTCTCCCATTTCTAAATACAAAAAATAAAAAAATGATCAAACATTCTAGACCTTTTGAAGTAATATTTCAAATCCGACTATAGCTGGACTGGATTTCAAGTCCACGTAATTTGATCAAGTTCGAGGCAAAGCCGAGGACAGGATCAAAATGCGAGGACTCTTGAAATCTAGTCCAGTCTGAATTGGAGGATTTGAAATGACATCTCATACGAATAAATCACAACTCAAAGTAAGGTGAATTAATTTTCATCCAATCCTAGGACTGAATCAGTTAACTTCGATCCAGTCCAAGGACTATTACAACATACTTCACTAGGTATTCACTATTCAGTATTATCATGTGAGCAAAATAAAGCAATATGGTTGGCTAATTTACACATGAATTATTAACAAGTCTGAGATTGTTATGTTTTTCACTCTTACCATTTCATGAGCAAACTCACCTTCAGTGTCTTGCCATACTCGTATACCACCACTTTCACCAACCAACAACTGTGGAAAACTGCCTGAAAGTAAGTTGACTGCAGTTTAGGTTTCCTCCTGTAGTATAACACTGCACAAATAAGGTGTGGCCCAGTACACTAAACCTACTAATTGAAGCAGCAATTTCCACTGTACCTTTTGATGACTGCAGTAAAATTATATCCAATGCTGACATGGAAGAACTGACTTGTGTCACAATATCACAGTTTAAACTCTCCGTCTAGAATGACCACATCATTATGACAGATAAAACACAAGACTTTGGTACACTGAAGGCTGGCTCACGCTAGCATTTATGATGGCAATTTTTCTCCTCCTGGTAAATGTGATTGAATGAATGACGTGCAAAAGACTTAGAATTGTTTACTTCTGAATAGCGACTCTATACTTTTGTGTGCGAGTTCACTCATTTGCATCCGTCAGAAGGACAAAATCGCGGACAGAATTGCCAGTGGGAACCGGGGTTAAAAGATGCCATATTTTGTTATGGACATGTACAGATATCATTGATTTACTCATTCTCATTCTTAGAGCCATTTTCACTTGGTCTCTTCTTAAAAATTAGGCTCTTGATTATACATCAAAAGAAAGAGATCTGATTGGGTTCCCAGAGAGTAATTTGGAGGAAGGGAATTGATGGATTCTATAAGTCAATGTTGAAATGCATAAAAGGTTAAAAGTGCATATTCGACTTACCTTTGTACATTTCCAAATATATATCATGCTGACTCCCAAAGCTATAGCCATGACATCACCAAGGGCGTCGGCTCTCAAGCCATGTTGATTATTATGCTGGCTACTTTCAGGCAGACTTAATAAAGCTCTGAAGAGGAATGGCATGTCTTAACATCATCTATATATGTGTCTTTCATCTAGCTCTGTGACCTGAGAGTTCCATTCCTGCAATATCTATTGTCTGATTATAATTCTCAGTCACATGTGAGAAAAGTGCTTCTAGTTGACTCTAAATATCAAACACTGCCTGTCATCTCCAGATTCTCTGGTTTCCTCATGTAGTTACACTGAACCTTCTAGGAATGACCCTTCCTGTACCTCTAGGAAGAACAGTTCAGAATAAAACAACTTTCCATTATTTTTAATAGATTATAGTTTAGTTTAGGTTTCCTCCTGCAGTAACACTGGATCAATAAGAGATGATCACCCTTACTGGACCTCTAGGGAGAACAGTTTAGAACTGATAGAGTTATCCAGTATAAATAAAGTTAGTTTAGTTTAGGTTTCCTCCTGTAGTAACACTGGATCAATAAGAGATATTCTTACTGGACCTCTAGGAAGAACAGTTTAGAACTGATAGAGCTATCCAGTATAAATAAAGTTAGTTTAGTTTAGGTTTCCTCCTGTAGTAACACTGGATCAATAAGAGATGATCCTTACTGACCTCTAGGAAGAACAGTTTACTGAACTGATAAAGCTATCCAGTTAGATTAGGTTAAGTTTAGTTCATCTTACTTTGATTTCCCATCATTAGTAAATGAACCCAGAATATCCTTCACTGAGATATCTCGTTGAACAAATGCTCCACCACTTGTGAGTTCCCACGCCCGAAACTCAAATGTCGATTTTCCTTTGGCAGAAATGTTTACCGCAATTAACATCAGGCAGCTATCTTGAGGCGAGACAAATATGACACAAGTTCCTTCGTCAAAGCCTAAAGGACTTGTTTCCCGCTAAATAATTAAGGATAATTAACAAATTAATCGACAGGGGAGACCGTGGATAGTCTTCCTGGACAAACTTGGGCAGAGGAAAGATAGCCTGCCTAATAGGCAACGTCTGACTACCACTGACAGGCTGGCGAGAGTGAAACCCTGAATGTTTGTATTTTGACAATACTCTTTTTTCACACCTGCCCAATGTATTGTGGGATATATTGAGCTTACGGCATGCTGCAGGTGTGTCAGAAAAGCATTCACATATTAGAAATTGTCACAACTAGACACAACGAAGTACATCTCATCTTGCTGCTGACATGCCAGGGAAGTTGAACTTGAGTCAACTTTCTTCACATACCACTTGATCATGTCGGCCTGTGGCACCAGTGATGAGTAGTATTCTGACTCATAAACCCTAACCGCAGGCACAGTCAACGCCGGGTCACCGGCTTCAGGCATGAACTAGGTGATTAGATGACTTACAGAGCAAGTCCACCTAGACAGTTCATCTTCTGTTTAGACTAAGACATAATTTGGCATAATTCTAGAGGTATAATTATAAAATATTAAAATAATACCGAGAGATGATGGACTTCAACTTTCTTATCAATATATTCCAAAGCAACTGCAGTTCCATTGCTATTACGTGTATTAATTCGTTTGACACTTTGTCTAGTTTTTAGCGAGTGATACCACATATTTTACAAATATATCTGTTAAATTTTAGCCCATTAAACAATAAAATTTCTGGAAAATGTGATTTTTTAAATTTTTAGTTAAAACTATACACAAGTTCTTACACAACGTATCCTACCCGCGCAAGCCCCTGGCCAATAATATTGCAGCAAATAGGATCAAAACGCGGATAACGAATACGCGTCTATGCGGAATTAAGATTATGCAGACGCGGAACATTGCACTTTTTACGGATTATAATTTTCAACGCACTTCTGCTCGTCCCCGGCCACCAGTCACATTTTTGAATAAGTCGCATGTCTAGTTAATGTTCTGATAATGTAAAAAGCACTGAATGGAAGAAAGGTAACCAAGTATTTAATTTGAATTATATATACGTTATCTACATTTTGATGAACTTGTGGTTAGAGCTCGACAATTGGCCTTTCTCACGAAGGCCAAAATCCGCCATTTTTGGGGTACGTGCTGTCTGCCTTCGTGAAAGATTCTAGACAGTTCAAAAAGTTGTAACTGTACCAATACTAAAAAGTTGTATTTCGTGGTGCGGAGACTATTTAATTGTGTAGCAACGGAAGGCAGTGATCATTGAGTTCTTCGTATTTTAAGTGGGTCTTGAAACATGGTCGTTCAAGGTTATACTTGCTAGTATAAGAGGGTACCACTTATACACGTGACCAGAGCTCTGTTTATTGACTAGATAATTTACTATCTTTATCGACTTTGTGTCTAATACAAATATATATGCATGTAACGGAAACATTTAGTATAGTTTTCTCACTCCCACAATGTACTGACATTGGCAGTTGACCATATATATGTAACATTACTGAACATAACATTACTTACTGAAATACCAGTGAGTGGGTGAGTATACAAAATGTTTTAGTTCTAAATATTAAGGCTAATAAACCTAAAAAAGGCCCTAAACTAAACAAAGAATACAAAGAATAATATGGATGTAGCCTTTCGGAAAATCCTAGCTTTGATGTCATTCTGTAAAGTACCGGATAGCGCAGATGCGGAAAATCGTCATTTCGGTATTCAAGGAATTTATATATGGCCATGGTCCATGTTTATTTAAAATTGCACAACTTTCCAATTTTCAATGTCTTCTTCTTTGATGTCATGCCGAATTCGAAAATACCGAGCCGACAGGAAAAATCAAAGATGGGGTTTGGCATATCATCATAGCCAGATTACCTAGATACTATTTACTAATGTTTCATTCTACAGAGTGTCTCCCAAAAAAGTATAACGTTTTGACACCTTGTATATACTCTATGCCTCTACGGTATATACTTAATTAAGCCAGTTTTTCCCCAGTTATATTCTTAAATGATTAACACATGTTAATTACATTCTTGACATGCTCATTGCACGTAGGACACCGGAAATGAGATTTCTATTTTCAGTTATTAATAATTAATTCATGTTGTGAATGTAGTATGAATATATAATTCCTGGGATAAATAATTATATAACTGAATAAAACTGGCGGTGTTGACGTTATTCTAGCACATGCATCCGTTGGGTACAGTACAGCAGCTGCTGCTACTTTTGTTCTCGAAAAAATCCAGATATTTGATTAAACGTTTGGACAACATTTCGTAGTACACTGGATTTATATTTTGTATTCCATAATTTCGAAGTGTATATAAAATCAACTGTCTTGTCGATTTCACAACCTTTGTGTGGTCTTTAACAACTTCAAAGCGCTGAATGTTGCTGTATTTATTCAAATTAAATAATTATATAAAAGATTCGGGTAAGTTTAAGCATTTTTTTGAAATCAATTTATCAAGAGTATATAGTGTTTTATATAAATCTCAAGTCTAAAAGCATTCGGAACGAAATAACGATTGACGTAATGGAAATATACGTATAGTACTATAAAAGCCCCCATAAACTCAGTTCCAATGTGCATTCACTTGTTGTGATATTTTCTACTCGTTTCAAGCAATATTCTATCTGTTTTCACTTATTTAGAACTCGTGCTTGGCCGGACAAGTCGTAATTATGAACAGCCAACAAGAGACGCAGTATCCTGTTGTCATAATCGGTAAAAAAATGCTTAGTCTATAAGGCTTTGAAAAATAACGTTTAGACTACTATTTCCCACGAAATAATGCCCCTGAAATATACTGGGAACCTTTAGTATCATATAGATAGTTTGCTTCCGAAGTATCGTAAAGTTTTGTTTCATTTTAAACGAAAGTTTTAAGTTCTAATGGCAAAAGGCCTGTCAAGTGTCAGCCACGCAATTCAAATATTGCAACAAGACTAACAAGCGACGCCGCGTCCTACAGTAATGCTCATTAAAAACACATGTGTTGGATAAAAATGCTCTATATTCGTTTGTACTTCAGACATTTTCAATTTCGACAAAATTGCGCGACTATTATTGAATGTTGCAAGCAAATATTACATGTTATGTAATAATGCTCTGTAATTGGCATTTGGAATTCGGAATTGCGACATTAATTACAGCAAAATTGTAATGAATTGCACACTGTAACAGCAAAATTGCAACCTACAGTATAAAAGCTTTGACCTGTTTGGCCTATGTTGCAATACAGCAGGTTGCTTTCATGTTATTTTATATTTTAGTGTACCTCTCTTTTACCAAATTACAAGTTTCCTGGCTGATACATTGCATATTTGTGGGGGCGGAAACATGCTTCCCTAGATAATTAAGTGGGGTATTAATACCAATGCAAAGTAAACAACTTTATTAAAATGAAGAGAAATTTGAAGAGAAAAGCAATATATTTTTGACAGCTGCTGTCTTGGACTATTAGGTAAACTGTGCTAAGAATTCTCCCTCGATCACCTGAAATTTTAATAATTTTATCTGGCAGGCAGAGATTAAAGGCTTAGTTACTCACTACATGTGCCATGAGATAGCACAGCCTTAATACCTATCTTGTGATTGTTAGCTAGCTCATGATTGGCTCGATTCTAAGAGGGGCTTATTTTTGTTAAAATTTTAGGTAATGGACCATCTGGGATATCCTTATCCAATATCTTGTCAGGAAATTTTCCCTATTTCAATGGCAAGGTTCCACAATGTCCACAACCTCACGAAAGCTTTCTTTATGAAAAGTGCAGACGAAACATGGAATTGTCATTTGTTGAACAGGTTTGCAAGATAATAAAGCTTTACTTATGCTGGACAGTTCTGTTCTGAACTGTTCTCCCTAAAGGTCCAGTAAGGTTCATCAGTTTTTGCTACAGTCTTACTACTGGCTGAAACTGGACGACCCAGAGAAAATCTGCACTGTTTGGTAGAGGAAATCGTCCCTTGCAATTGTGGTGAAATACAGGGTATCCCCAAAAAAATGTCCCCTATCATATTTTGTGGTAATACATCGTTACCTGTAATCAAATTTTCAAATTTTTCATTTTTTTTTATCAATGAAAATATTACGTTAATCATTGCATTTTTTTGCATCAAAATATTTAACCATTCGCCTTCTAGAGTTACTTAAGGTGGCAACACCAATATTGCCACTTGTCCAAATTGTGGATATTTATAGGTTTAAACATATTACAGAACATAATAAAATATTTTATATTTTCTGTAAAAATGAAGCAATCCCCAGGAAAGGGGAAAGATTAGTGCTGAAATCCCAACATTTGCTCTTTCATGGAACAAATTGAACGGAAAACAGCAAATTTAAGGCATTTTCCCAACCTTAGCTTTGCCTTTGTCAATTTGCCAGGGATTTTTCATCTTTTTTATTAATCTCTACAAGAAACAAAAGTTTAATAATAGAGATAAAAAACATTTTGTTTTTGAGCAGAAAGGTGGCTAGAAACTTTAGAAATCCTTCTACAAAGTTTGCATTATTTTTAACCTAATTTCTGTAATTTGGACTGGTTGCAAAATTGGTGTCGCCACCTTAAGTATCTCTAGAAGCCGAACAGTTAAGTCTTTTGGTGAGATAAATACTACTTACGATTAATATAATATGATTGTTTTTCAACCCACTGCAAAAAAATTGAACCTTTGATTAAATATAGCGAAGTAATACCACCAAATATGACAGGGGACATTTTTTGGGGGACACCCTGTATAGTCAGATAACTGCATATTGCAGGCATCAAACTTTGCATGGTCACAGAGATACAAAACTACGATTACACCAACCATTGCGCCCCCATGGTGTATTCACTGCATGATATTATATGTCCCAATAACTCGCCATGAAAGTGTACTGTTCTTGTATTATTCTGACTTCAAGCATTTTTCCCGCTAGGATCTTGAATACTTGAGCGAAGGTCTACAAGGGAGATCAACCAATCCTGTTGCATTACTATTTGACCATCTCAACCAACCCAATGCTGACACAGGTTTACACGAAGAATCTACACTCACATGGCGGCATTGTCGTGACTGGCGTACTCACCATCTCGTTGTTGGGCGTGGCCATTCAGGAGGCAGTTGGCATCTAATGCAAGGATCGCAGCTTACTGTCAGCCTTAATAATTGGCTTGACTTGCCAGGCTGGACGTTCCGTGAGTGGCTTGAACAACATCATAAAAAAATCAAGAAAGCATCATCTTGTTGCCAGCTTGCAAGGGACAGCGTAGTCGGCAAAGGAAATTTGTACGACCGTGCTTCCACTTCACATGTTGCTGAATACTATGAAAATTACGTCAGCGAACGAGGATTGGAAAAGCACTTTGAGAATAATATCAAAATTAAATCCGTCAAGCGGAAGGGCACCGTTTGGGAAATTTGCGGCAACAGGAAAGTGAAGAGCAGATTTTCTTCACACAAGAAACCTTTTCGAGTGCTTGCCGAGAATGTGGTGCTCGCAAGTGGCTTATCCAAACCTAAAAAACTTTCTATTGATGGCGAGGGTCTACCATTCGTCCACCATCATGTGAGGAAAGTCATACAGTTGACAAAACCCGAAAGCAAATCAAAGAAAATTAAAAAGCCGGTGTTGGTTGTTGGCGATGGACTCAGCGCTGCCGACACTGTGTTAGAACTTGTCTCCAACGAAATACCGGTCATCCACATTTTACGTCATGACCTTAATGACGAAGAACTTGTTTTAAACAAGATGCCGACACAGGTATACCATGACTATGCCAAGGTGAAAGATATGATGACAAAGCCAGTTTTTACAGCACAAGGGGACTGTCTTTACCAGGCTTATTTCAAATGCCAGCTATTGTCTATTTCTAAACACAAAGAATGCAAACTTAAAATGCAAGATGGTAAATGTCAAACACTCTCAGTCTCGGCCGTTTTCATTTTGATCGGCACAAGACCAGAACTCTCGTTTCTCCAAGATGTCCCAGCCTTGGGCGTCAACCCCACCCAGGACATTGACTGTCGACACAACCCAATCGATGTGGACCCTTATTCATACGAATGCAAACGAGTTAAGAATCTTTTTGCCATGGGACCCCTGGTCGGCGACAATTTTGTGCGATTCGGCATTGGAGGAGCATTGGGAATTGCTAATCATTTACACAAATCTTCCAGGCGGTGATAAAATGATAACAATTCGATAATTTAGCTATGTATGGTTTGTAGAATTAATAATAAACAGAGCGCTGTCGTAGTTGTGATTAAATTATATATAAATGGTTATAGACGTGCGCATAAATTTAAAATATATATATAAGTTTGTGCGCTTTGGTTAATTATAGTAATAGATTATCAATTAGAACGATATATTAATATACGTACAAACAATAATTAGCTAATTGGTAAACATTAGTCATGGCTAATTAATAAACTAAACTTTTACTTGATCAAAGATGATTCCTGGACTGGGCATTTAAACATTAATCCATTTCTCAATATTTAAGTTGTATCACACATATTATATTTAATATTTATATTGTCTGAGTAAAACTCATTTGTACCAACATATAAAGCATAATTGTACCAACATATAAAATCATTGTACCAACAAGTATTAAAACTATTGACGTACCCAGTATTTGTACTGAAAAAAGTAAAAATATATACCTTGACCTTGTCTCACAGTTTTGTCTGTTGTGTCTTTTTCGATTCCTATGTTTTAAACTTTGAATAAACATATTATTCCTACAAAAACAATAAGAGAAATATGATACAAAATCCTCCAGATATTTTAATATCGTATTAAACATTTTTCTCACCAAATCAAATGGCATTCATATTTTCAGCACTATTGTCTTATTGAAGAATGTTTTTATCACAGCTATACAGTATACACAGCATTCTCAAGCAAGCAAAAAAAAATAAAACACTCAAAAATACTTAACACTATTTATTTTTAATGAATAGCTGAGCTAGTTGAGTGAACTTTATAGTTTAATGATGAATAGCCATTCTTTACATTGACTTTCAATGACGATATTGAACTGAAACACAATAGTCAATAATTATGGAATATTTCTATATAGATTACTCACAATGAGTTAACTCTGTCTTTGCTCTGTAAAACAACTACGTATGTTCTTTAAAAATGCTACTGCGTTACATTTAAAAGCTTTTTTATACATTCATGCGACATCATATATTAGCAAGCCTTTTGAATGAGAGGGTAATGGGAGAGGTTTTACTGATTTTCTTAGAGATATTGTATATTTTTGTATAATTACTAAACCTTTCTTGAAGACTCATTTTTTGAACGCTTATTTCACATTTCACTTTCTAATTTTTCATGAAAGTGAAATCCACCATTATCCTATTCCTAGGGAACCGTTATTGCATCAGGGATCCCCATTACCCTTTGGATGCCCTAGATAACTCTCGTTACCCTTTGGTTACCCTAACGATCCCAAAGAAACCCTTGATACCTTAGGAAATCCTAAATTACCCTAGGTATCTTCGATCATCGTAAGGAACCCCAGGTCACCCTTGGAAACCCTCCAGAACCTCCATTACCCTATGGAAACCCTCATTACTCCAAGGAAACCTCGATTTCTCCTAGGAGATCATCTGATACTCGTAGCCAACCCTATGTATCCCTAAGAAAACCCTAATTTACCATAGGAAACCCCCATTACCCTCTCAACAAACTTTCTAAAACATTCTCTCATGTCACCGTCGCCAATTACGATCGCGTTGAAATCGATCGCGATTTCTGTTAAAATATTCATCTCTACGCCTGTCATCTCTGCGATCATCCCAATGTCTATCACCATCACGATGTTCTCTGGAATCCCTCGACCTACGATCTCGATCATAGCCCCTTTCCTGGCCTCTTTCATGCCCCCCTCTATCATGGCCACCTCTATCATGGCCACCTCTGTCCTGACCCTTTTCATGATCCCCTCTCTCGTCACTACCACTTCTTGCATTCAATGAAAATCTTGAAGAATAAAATCTTGGGTCATCCCGACCCTCGTTATTATAACCTCGCCTCTCTGAGAAATCTCGCCTTTCTGGGAGGTCCCGCTTTTCTGGGAAGTCTTTGCTATGATGGTATATAGCAGTACCAGCTCGTTCTGGTCCTGATTCACCACGATGCAACTTTTGCTCAGCAAACTGCGACAGTCCTTCAGGCTTGCCAGTTGGTTGGTTATTTGTCTGTTGAACCAAGCTACCCTGCTCTGATTTAAGCTCTGATTTAAGCAAGGCTTGAACTTTTTCTTGTAGTTCTTTAGGGATTGAACGTTGGTTCATATTTTGGTTAGGTTTTACCGAGATTTCAGGCTGGTTATTCACTTGTTTAACCAAATTATCAACCCGTATCTCCGGTTTACCAACAGTACTCGATGGTGGTGTGCTTTGCTGTAAACGCCCAGTAACATCGGACCTTGCTAGATTCTGGTTAACTGTTTCAGATAGCGCAGTATTTTGTGCACTATCCGCTGGAGTCAATACCGTATTACCTTTCTCCGGACTGGGTACTTCATCTAAACTTATATCAAGAGTATCCATATCTTCGGGGTCGTACGGAGTCTCTTCGTTTTCAGCCGTTTCCGGGTCGTACGGCTCGTCCTCATCCGGTCGTGAAATATTAGAAGTTGCCCCGACTACTGAATAAGCTTGACTAGCGGCACTCTTTGGGCCATCAACTGACAGAACTGTCCCACCAGAACCAATTGAAGCTTGTGGTATAACTGCTGGGAAGCCTAAGTTGTTAGAAACTTTAGCGTGGACAGGTGGATTGACCATTTGACCAGACACAAGATTAGAAGCACCGTTAGTGGCTTTTTCACCACCTATAACAGAAGATGCACCACCACCCATTTGACCAGACAAATGGCTAGACACATTACTCGACGCTTTCTGACCAGTTGTAAGATTAGGTAGACTGACAGAAGCTTGCATTTGACCACCTATAAGACTGGATAAACCACCAGTTCCCACCGGGGACGCCACATTTCCCATTTTAGGCGCTAATTCTTTCTCCAATAGTTGAGACTGCTTTTGTAACTCGCGAAGTCTTTTCTCTTGCTCTTGGATTTTTAGCAAAGCTGTGATCATTGGAGGAATGCCCGCTGGTTGTGCAGCCTTCGCAGGCTCAGGTTTGCCTCCTTGCGTGTTATGATAATGGAAGACTATATCTTCAATTTCATCTACGGGGGAGTCGCTAGGCTTCGCAGGGGTTTGGGTTGTGGGGGTACTGCTCTTCGAGGAAAGATCATCCACACTTGTACGTTTTGAAGGAGGTTCCGAATTGGAGGGGACGACACGGTCGGACCCTGAGCGGGAACGTTTTATAGGGGCGTTCTTGTTCTTCACAATTATACCAAGTAACATATGTGGCCGAGGTTCTTGGAGTCCTAGGAATGAATGAATGGTTTTTAACTGATAAATTTATCCAGTATAAATGAAAGTAGTTTAACTTAATTTTGATTTCCTCCTGTAGTAACACTGGATCAATAAGAGATGACTCTTACTGGACCTCTGGGAATGAACAGTTTAGAACTGATAGAGCCATCCAGCATAAATAAAGTTAGTTTAGTTACTCCTATAGTAGTAACACTGGATCAATAAGAGATGATCCTCACTGGACCTCTAGGGAATTAACAGTTTGGAACTGATAAAGCTATCCAGTATAAATAAAGTTAGTTTAGGTTTCCTCTTGTAGTAACACTGGATCAATAAGAGATTATCCTTACTGGACTTCTAGGGAACCGTTTACAACCGATAGATGTATCCAATATAAATGTTAGTTTAGTTTAGGTTTCCCCCTGTAGTAACACTGGATCAATTAGAGATGATCCTTACTGGACTCTAGGGAGAACAATTTAGAACTGATAGAGCTACCCAACTGAAATAATGTTAGTTCTATGAAAGCCAAACATTACCTGGTCCACTGAAAGGCAGTAATGGTGATGGGATGGGTTCATGTGAGGCTAATGGTACAAGGTACATGTCTTTGATAACACTGTGACAATTTCCAATCACACCGCATCTCTTACGACTATGGAAATATGAATATAACGACACGTAACTAATCTTCTCCTCGTCTGTGGCGGCGGCGAAACGAATGATACATAACTCCTAAGAAAATATCATTGTAGAAATACAATAAGAGATTAAATAGAAATACACAAAGCAATGGACCTATTCCCTAATGAACAAAATTTTGATCTAGAAAAGTCTAGACAAACATTTCATCACAACTTGAAAGAGCATCACAAAATTAGTAATATTCCGACGTTTCGTTGCGAGATGTTGTAAAATGCGGATAATATAGCGAAGTTTGACGTTTTTCAGTCATTTTGTATTACGCGTGGGAAATTGATACCGCAAAAACGGCAAACTTCGCAGGGCTATATTATCCGCATTTTACAACATTTCGCAACGAAACTTCGGAATATTACTAATTTTGTGATGCTGTTTCAAGCTGTGACGAAATTTTTGTCTAGACTTGTCTAGATCAAAATTTTGTTCACTAGGTAATAGGTCCTCAAAGTAAGAACATTTCAGAAGTGGACCGCCACGGCTGCCCTATAAATAACGCTTATAATGAAACCACTAACTCTGCTAAAACTCAATAATAAACAGCCGTTCAGATAGATTCAAATTTCCAATCACTTACCCTGGAGGTTGAAGTCTTACATTGTTTGACATAGTCCCAGACATGCTTATGCGCGATTCGGCCGGCCACATGCAACGTGTCTGGCAAAACTTGGATGAGGTTCTCCCCAGGTCCTGACACGAGGAAAACATTCGTACCGAACTTTGCAACATTCTGCATCATGACGAAACCTTTCCAAATAGAACTCTCTTTTGATTTTTCCGTCAAGTTTGAAAAGTCTGGAGTGCCTCGCGAATCTGGCGACCTAAGAAACAATAAAAATTGGGGTAGCAGCGAGGTTATTAGAGCTATCCAGTATAAATAAGGTTAGTTTAGTTTAGGTTTCCTCCAGTATAGTAACACTGGATCAATGAGAGATGATCCTTACTGGACCTCAATGAAGAACAGTTTAGAACTGATAGAGCTATCCAGTTTAAATAAAGTTAGTTTAGTTTAGGTTTCCTCCTGTAGTAACAATGGATTAATAAGAGATGATCCTTACTGGACCTCTAGGAAAAAGGTTTAGAACTGATAGAGCTATCCAGTATAAATAAGGTTAGTTTAGTTTAGGTTTCTTCCTGTAGTAACACTGGATCAATAAGAGATTATCCTTTACTGGACCTCTAGGAAAAACAATTTAGAGCTGATTGAGCTATGAAGTGTAAATAAAGTTAGTTTAGTTTAGGTTTCCTCTTGTAGTAACACTGGATCAATAAGAGATGATCCTTACTGGACCTCCAGGGAGAATAGTTGGGAACTGATAGAGCTATCCAGTAGAAGGATAGTTTAGTTTAGGATACAATACTTACAGAGGTTCAGTGTATGTGCTTGGTTCCTGAATAGGAGGCGGAGAGGGAATAGAACTCTCAGCTGCGGCTTGAATTCTATCATAATATAAGAGAAAAATTGTGAAGAGTTAACCTACACAACCTAATACAATGCTATAGGAGATTTTCACCAAGCACTATCGTACAGCAGATGGTGGTGAACCTGCAGTTATCAGAGTGAAAAAATAATGTTCATTCTTTTCATTATATGTAGTAGTCTTGTGTTTGGAGGAAAATGCACTAGAATTGAGAGATGTAGTTTAAATTTCTTGCTCTTATAAGTGTGAACATTTCTGAAATTGACCATTTGCTGAAACGTAGCAGTGACAATACTTGGAAGAGGTTATTTCGCTGGCCTCAAAGTGACAAAACGTAACAAAGCAACGGTTTTAAAAACACCAACTCTATTCCAAACACACCAACTCTATTCCAAACACCAATCCTTACCCTAACCTAACTCTACTCCAAGTTTGTTTCTAAACCAATCTTGAAGAAAAACGTTTGGACGAAATATCATTATGATGACAGCGAAATAACTTCTTCCACAATACTTACGGTACATTGGACATAGTTGGTGATTTCGCCACGACCTCCCCCGGCGGCGCCATCTTTCCTGTACATATCTTACAATTGAGATCAAATAAATGAGCTCGATGCTCTTCTGTCGTATCGACTAACGCCACTTCCACCTTTTCTTCCACCTTTGGCTTCTTTTCCTCAGCTTCCTGGATATTTGTTGCCTGAAAAATAGACAGAAGTTGAAAACTTGTAAAATGGAAACACGCACTATTTTTTCTTTGCTCAAGTAACTGTCATTGTTGGAAAATAACAAAAGTATATTTTTAATAAAGTAAAAACCTCCAAGGTACTCAAGTCTTCATCGCCGTCGACATCGACTTCGCCTTTGTGCGTTTTCTTAATTAAACGAGCTTTGTTCGTATTCTCTTCTTCTTTTTTTATCATGTCGATCATCTAGGGAGAGAGTTTAGAACTGATAGAACTACCCAGTATAAATACAGTTAGTTTAGTTTAGGTTTCATCCTGTAGTAACACTGGAGCAATAAAAGATGATCCTTACTGGACCTCTAGGGAGAATATTTTAGAACTTATAGAGCTATCCAGTATAAATAAAGTTAGTTTAGTTTAGGTTTCCGTCTGTTGTGACACTGGATCAATAAGAGATTCTCACTGGACCTCTAGGAAGAACAGTTTAGAACTGATAGAGCTGCCCAGTATAAATAAAGTTAGTTTAGTTTAGGTTTCCTCCTGTAGTAACACTGGATCAATAAGAGATGATCCTTACTGGACCTCTAGGGAGAACAGTTTAGAACTGATAGAACTATCCAGTATAAATAAAGTTAGTTTAGTTTAGGTTTCCTCCTGTAGTAACACTGGATCAATAAGAGATGATCCTTACTGGACCTCTAGGAAGAACAATTTAGAACTGATAGAGCTATCCAGTATAAATAAAGTTAGTTTAGTTTAGGTTTCCTCCTGTAGTAACACTGGATCAATAAGAGATGACCCTTACAGTTCCTCTAGGGAGAACAGTGTAGAACTGATAGAGCTATCCAGTATAAATACAGTTAGTTTAATTTAGCAATAGTGTCCTGCTGTAGTAACACTGAATCGTTACAAGACAACACTTATTGAACTTTAACAGTGTGCATGCAAAATCAGGCCTTACGTAATTTATGACGAGAATCCGAGACTTACATGTTTAGTTTCTTGTTCCCGCCATTGGGCTAGTTCTTTAGTAGCCAACTCATCAGACGACATCCAAATAAGCCGATCAGGAGGAATATCACCTGTTAAAACTCGTTTGTAGAGAACCTAGAAAATACGTGGAGCATGCTTAGGATTTATTTTATTTTATGCATTACAAGGCTAATAAACCATTTTTCAACAGATCTTAGCAAAAATTTAAGATTGAAAAAAGTCCTTGCAAGCGAAACTATACCTCTTTGAAATGCACAAAAAGTACCAAAATGAAGCTAGTCACACTTGTTTGCTAAATCTAGCATAAATTTCTATTTTTAACATGTAATCTCTCAAAGAGAATACATGGTATTATATTCATATATTATAATTATACTTTGTAAAATTGTTGGTCTTGAAGTATTCTACAAGGCGGCAGTGTAACCTTGGTTGAAATTAATTTCGGAAGAAAAAAGAATGAGAACTATTTTTCGAATTGATCTATGGAGGATACCCCTACGCCACTTGCGGTACAAATTGGGGGTTTTATAGTATTGAACATTTGCCACACTGCAGGGGAGAGTTTGCCTAAAATAATCCACTCACTTTGTTGCGAGGATCCTTCAAGTTAAACATCAAAGTTCGATATTTTGCTTTGTATCTATGACTTGTATCCTTGAATGACTTGTACATGTCGTCTTCAATTTTACCAACCAATTTCATAATTTCTTCAACTGAAATACGGATCTCGCTTGATTCTTTCTTTCTGTAGGGATAAGACGTGATGGAATGGCTGAGTGCGGAGTTTAATACATTAGGATATTGATGGCACAGTGGTAGGTTAATTAAAGTTAGTTTAGTTTACGTTTCCTCCTGTAGTAACACTGGATCAATAAGAGATGATCCTTACTAGACCTCTAGGAAGAACACTTTAGAACTGATAGAGCTATGCAGTATAAATAAAGTTAGTTTAGTTTAGGTTTCCTTCTGTAGTAACACTGGATCAATAAGAGATGATTCTTACTAAACCTCTAGGAAGAACTCTTTAGAACTGATCGAGCTATGCAGTATAAATAAAGTTAGTTAAGAGGATTGTGCTTACCTCTCAACCAAGATATCTTTCATCATTCGTCGTACATTACTACGTACAGTCTCAACTTCGCTCTTCTTGTCGCTTTCCTTCTTCTGTTTTGATTCTGAAAATTCAATAATGACTCAATTTATACCAGAGACAGCTCATTCGTCAAGACACATTGTCCATGTGACGGTTCTTCCTTCTCGGTGAGAATACAAATTAAACGAACTATCCAGATGAACTAACTAAAACAGTGTGATTTGTAATGGCAATGCTTTTGGTAACAAATCATGGCTGAAATTTTCCAGATAGTTTGTCTAATGATGTATTTATACACAGATCATCCGTGAAGACAAACTAAGCAGACAGTTGCCTCTGTCGCCTGCATATTTTCTTTGCTCTTGTTCATCAAGACAAATGCAAAAAACATTGAGCATGATTTTATTTGCACAAACCTGCATTAACTTTGTTATAAAACGACGTCGACGAATGATTTGTTGGGCTGGCTCCTGTGAGATGAAGAACAGCTTAGAACTGATACAGCTATCCAGTATAAAGTTTAGTTTAGTTTACATAGATTTCCTCTTGTAGTAACACTTTATCAATAAGAGATGATCCTTACTGGACCTCTAGGGAGAACATTTTGGAACTGATAGAGCTATCCAGTATAAATAAAGTTTGTTTAGTTTAGGTTTCTTCCTTTAGTAACACTGGATCAATACGAGATGTCTCTTACTGGACCTCTCGGGAAAACAGTTTAGGACTGATAGAGTAATCCAGTAGAGAAGATAACTAACTTGAGACAAGGACTTGAAATGAAGGATTTTTCAAGATCCATTCTGTCAGTTGCGTGAATACAGGTGCAGCCATTCCCGCGACCAAACGTCCTGAAGATTTCTCGATCATAGAGACACGGTTTCCTTCTGACGTATGTAACTTTCCTCCGTGCTCCTTAAAAATAAGATTTACATAGATTCAATTTCATGAAAATATCACAAAACTGTAAAGCGTTCAGGGAAATGAGACTAAATCAAATTATTCTTCATGTACGATAGAAATATACCGACGTATACATTACCTTTGACGATAGCATTGTAACAGCTTCGCTGACATGCCTAGTAAAAAATAATTCAAATTATGTCACACATTTCAAAACCATAAGTTACTATTGGTTTATTTGCTGAGCAGGGCTTTCAAAATAAGCCGCCGGGGGTGCCACGAGGTTTACCGCCAATTACTTTGTTTTCTACTTGAAATATCAATTCTGCTCTCCTTCCTCCACTCTAAGCTTTCAAACAAAGTTATTTTTTGTAAAACTGATTTAGCCATTTGCCATCTTAAATCTTGAAGATATCTTGTTGAAGAATGACAGTAGCGATACATTATAATTTGGTTACACAGCTCAGTTGCGTTGCTATCAAATCAATATACTAGTGTTAACGTGAATGACTTTATCGCCCGTATTCTAAAAGCTCACTCAATGAGTGGAAGTTCAATCTGAGCTTCACTCGAGTATCATTGCTGTTTTTGAATAGCTGGAGGGTTAGTGTCATACCTTACTATGTGACTACTCACCCTCTAGCTATTCAAAAACAACATTGACACTCAAGAAAAGCTCAGATTGAACGTCCACTCATTGAGTGTGAGTGAGCTTTTAGAATACAGGCATAAGACTCCCTACATCGTTGCCTACTTTACCAACACAGCCATCTACTCTGAAAGCCCTGTCTGTGGACAACAAACAATACTAATGGCAATACCTCTCAATACAACTACGGCCACAGTACACAGCGCCTTCAAATGAGGTCCTGGGACAACCTTCCACGATGCATTTCTTGCTTGGTTGAACTTGTGAATGCGACACTGGTGTGGGTGTCGTGCGAACCTTTTTGGGGATTTTAAATCCAGCAGGTTCCCTTACTCTCTTTTTCTTAATTTCGTCCGACTGTGACGGCGCCGACACTTGGGTCGGTCTCTCGCTTGAGTCAGGCTCCGCAACGATATTCTATCAAAAAATAACACGAAGTAAAGTTATGACGTTTTAAAATTCTTTTCATTATATGTATGTCTTGTCAATGTGGATGTAGTTTAATTTTTTTGTCTAAATGCATGTCACCAAGACACCATTCACAAATTCCTTCCTGACCCGGAGGCCTCGTTTTCATAAATTGTGAGCAAATAGCCTCTCGTCTTAATTCATGAAAGCGAGGCTTCCAGATCAGGTAACTATTCGTGACGTTAAAGGGTGTACATTCCAAAGTTGACCGCAACGTGATGACGTCATCTGATGACGTCATCTGATGACATCATCACCACCCAGTCCTCAAACTTAAAAATATTTCCTGAGCCTGCAATTCGAAATTTGTATGTTTCTCTTACACTTGATGTTATCCTGCGTTTTTGTCTTGGTTTCTTTGGCGAATCGTGCTTGGTTGTATCTGGCTTCGTCTTTATTATTGCTTCGGCAAACTCTCTCGCTTTATCAGACATCTGTGCTTCTTTTGCCCTTTTCTCTGCACAAGTAAAACAATTTTTTAGATTTTAGTAGTGTTGGAATCGCAATAGTTAGTGCGTCAGGTTTGATAGAACCAACAGTTTGAGGTTTAGACTAGTGAGAATCTACCATAAAGGACGTGTATTTCAAGACCACTACCTACACTGAGAACCAACAGTTTGAAGTTTAGACTAGTGAGAATCTACAACAAAGGACGTATATTTCAAAACAACTACCTACACTGAGAACCAACAGTTTGAAGTTTAGACTAGTGAGAATCTACCACAAAGAACGTGTATTTCAAAACAACTACCTACACTGAGAACCAACAGTTTGAAGTTTAGACTAGTGAGAATCTATCACAAAGAACGTGTATTTCAAAACAACTACCTACACTGAGAACCAACAGTTTGAAGTTTAGACTAGTGAGAATCTGCCACAAAGGACGTATATTTCAAAACAACTACCTACACTGAGAACCAACAGTTTGAAGTTTAGACTAGTGAGAATCTACCACAAAGGACGTACATTTCAAAACAACTACCTACACTGAGAACCAACAGTTTGAAGTTTAGACTAGTGAGAATCTGCCACAAAGGACGTGTATTTCAAGACCACTACCTACACTACGTCTAAGAACTAAGAGTTTGAAGTTTAGACTAGTGAGAATCTACTACAAAGGACGTGTATTTGAAAACAACTACCTACACTGAGAACCAACAGTCTGAATTTTAGACTAGTGAGAATCTACCACAAAAGACGCGTAAAATAGGTTCTTTCACGAACGTTGTAAGCATCCATGCCTTAACACCAACCTTGCCATGCAATTAAATATCATAATTGGAGTCTCGTATCTTCGCATTTTCACTAAGTTTTCAACCAAAATTAAGTACAAATATTCCCAATATCTAATCCATAATTCTTAAACATTATACCGCTCTAAAGTGATTGCAATGCTGGTCAATAATTGCATCAGATAGTGTTGTGTTACCCGAGTACGACGAGTAAAAATACGAAAACAAACCAAGGCCCACTCGGGCATGCAGAGAAAAGCGACGATGCAAACAAAGCTTCATTTTGGAATTAAGGCGAAAACAAAGCACATATTTCTTTTAGAAGTTTATCAGGACAAAGCAGAATGAATTCTTTTCAATAGGGCCTTTGTTTAAACGTTATTTGGATGGCATGGACAACAGTGGGATAAACAAAACAAAAAACCAATGGGACATTCAATGATCAGACCGGATAACACCATTGTTATGATGTTATGCAAGAATTATTTTGCCTTTGTTCTATCCCAGTTTCTGCTGTAGGCATTTTTTTTGCTTATTTCAAGCTTATTTTTCATACTTGAGCGCATTTCATGCATTTATTCTTTGTGAAGAACAATAGACCTTTCTTATAATGACTCAAGGGACAATTTTGAGGAACAATTCGCAACGCAAATGATGAAATTTACTGGCTCGTCAACGGACGACTTGCATTGTCCTGCGCGAAATCACATAAATTGGTTTTCCGCATTTAACTTCATTATAACAAAAGTCTAGATTGAAAAAAAAATTAAACATTTGTAATCCTTAAGTACTGTACAATCCTAACCCTAGTTAACTCTCAAAGTTACTGTGACTGAATGGCATGGAGAACAGTGGAATTTTCAAAACAATGAAAAGACAATCTGAACTCACTTTTTAAATGCCAGAACTCACTTTTCAAATGCCAAAACAGCCTTTTCAAATGCCAAAACACCCTTTTCAAATGCCAGAATGTCCTTTTCAAATGCCAAAACACCCTTTTCAAATGCCAAAACACCCTTTTCAAATGCCAGAATGTCCTTTTCAAATGCCAGAACACCCTTTTCAAATGCCAAAACACCCTTTTCAAATGCCAAAACACCCTTTTCAAATGCCAAAACACCCTTTTCAAATGCCAGAATGTCCTTTTCAAATGCCAAAACACCCTTTTCAAATGCCGGACAACTCCGCATTCTGGCCGGACATTGTCTGTTGACCGGTCGTTAGTTCGCACCCTAAATGGAACATTCTGACCACTGGATCATGACTGGATGACATGGAGAACAGTGGGATTTTCAAAACAATGAAAAGACAATGGAACATTCTGATCACTAGATCATGACTGGATGACATGGAGAACAGTGGGATTTTCAAAACAATGAAATGGAACATTTCTATCACAAATTATTACATTACCTCGGCATTTATCACAAACATATTCCCTTCCACGTTTTTCCATAACTTTTCCTTGCTCCATTGTGATACCAACGCATTTTCCGTGAAACCATTCTTCGCAACCATCACAGCAGATCATGAACCTAACAACATAACAGATAACAACATTTACACACCGATACTACAACGAAAGAACATTTACCAACACAAGAACAACAATTGAATTTCCATACTTATTGCCATGAGGTTTTCTGCAAATACACCAGGGTCTGTCAGGATCGTCCTCGGGACTATAGTCTGAGTCATCCTCGTGATAATCTAACCAATCATCATTATCGGATGACGACTCATTCTCACGATTGTCATCAGAGTTCTTTGTTTCAGCCGCAGATTTTTCATTCCTCTTCTCTTTGCCGTCGGCATCGGAAGTTTGTCCATCAACCTCCTTCTTCTTGGACCTTTTTGTGTTGCCTTCTTTTCTTTTGGCATTCCTCAGTTCTTCTTTTTCTTGAAGTTCATCAAATGGTTGTTTTGGCTTCAAATTTCCAGTCGTGCTTCGAGTGACTCTCTTATCGGGTGAACGCAATGGTCTACCAGCTTCACTTTCGGAAGAATTCAAGTTCATTGACTCATCCTTTGTTTCTGTCGTATTTTCTTCATTTTGTTCGGGAGGACTTTCTGGCAAAGTGCTTGATACAACATCTTCATCAGTTGCTGTGTCTTGTTGCTTATCAGTAGTTTTATCATCCTTGCTCAGTTCATTCTGAGTTGCTGTTTCTGGTAAAACATCAGCATTTTCACATTTCTGTTCGGCATCACTGTTTAAATAAAAGATAAATTACTTTGCAAGGCTTACTGCAAAAAATTTCCCTCAGGAACAAAAGGCCCGTTTACACTAGGAACAAAAGGCCTGTTTACACTAGGAAAAAAACTCTTGAAAAAACCCCAAAACCGTCAAGAAAAAACGAAAAACCGTTTTTTATCTATAAATAACACACAGACATAAACTAGTGTAGCACATGTTTTTATTATGTGAAGAATTTTAGTTTTAGATGCTTAACAAAAGCTTATAGAGGTATAAAAATACAGGTAGGAGGGCAGTGTTAAAAGAACATATTTAATACAAGTCTGCAGCTAGGAATGTAAGCATGTCAACTTTTTCTGGTTTTAATTGTGCTCGAGATGGAGTACTGACCAGTCCTGCCTTGATAAATAATCACTCTGATGGAGAACTGCTAGCCTGGATTGCAAAAAACTTTTGGGCAAGCTGACAAAGCAATGAGAAATCAACTTGATTTCTCTGCCACCACTTCAGCGGATCTTCATCTCTGTCAATTACAGGGTACGTCTGGTACCGTTTGATTTCTTTTGACAAATGATCACTGAAGTGATCAGCATGACTGAGCTGGCGTTGGTTGCTGACCACGCAGACATTAGTCTTTTTATTTTGTGTTTTTCCGGTTCTTCACCACTTTCCGTTTTTTCCGGTGCTTGGACTTTGACAAAACCGAAAAACCTGTATTTTACGGTATACCAAAAACCCGCCCCAGCCTAGTTAACGCTATAGAGCTCAATTTTGGTAACCATACCATTTTTATCCATGCTCAGACTACCTATTTACAAAAGACAAATCTGACACCGGCTAAAGCCCAACCTTACAATCATGAAAATGAGGCTCTATAGCCAAGGTGACATACTTTTCGAAGGCATGTATTGTTCTGTGTACACAATATATACAAAATCTGAAGCATATTGAGAATGTTCTTACCAGCCTCTGGAAAAAATCCCCAATTTTGCCAAGGCAAAAATAGGCCAATAACAAGGGCTGCAGTAAGTACTATTGTGTAGTACTATTGTTCCCAGTAAACTGCGAAACGACCGCTTTTTTAGGCGCTTTGTCAGTGACAGTTTTGTCAATTACGAAGGACATATTTGTGTACCTCGTGATCACAATTCGTTGCAAGCGGCGTGTGAAAAACTGCAAGTTTCAGTTTGACAGTTCTGACAGTTAAATGGTTTCTAATTTTATTGTCCAATCAGGTGCGTAGTTTTGATTTAATAAAATTCAAAACTACGCATCTGATTGGACAATAAAATTAGAAACTCATTTAACTGTCAAACTGAAGCTTGCAGCTTTTCACACACCACTTGCAACGAATTGTGATCACGAGGTACACAAATATGTCCTTCGTAATTGACAAAACTGTCACTGACAAAGCCCCTAAAAAAAACAGTCGTTTTGCAGTTCACTGGGAACAATAGTAAATGGCAGCCAAAGAGTGACCTTTATGAAAACATTAATAGTGTTTTTCAATAATATGAACTTGAATGGTCAGCAAGGGCAGATTTTCATATTTTTTAAAGGATTGGTGCAAGCGGCACCACCAAGCGAGCTTCGGTTAGGGTTAAAGACTTTCACATAAAATAAGAGGGGTGAAGCAAAATCGTGGTGGGGTTGAAGACTTTATAAGAGGGGTTAGAGAGCTTCTACGGGGGTTTAGCCCCTCCTAACCCCCCCCCCCCCAAGTAAATCCACCCATGACGGTCAGCATAGGTAGTGATAATAACACCAGAAAGCTGCGGATTTGAAAGGGATTCAACTGCGTGAAAAATACCAGTAAAACTCCAATGTTTCAAGAAAAGCCTTTCTAACTTCCCGACGAAGTGCCTTCACTTAAAATGTCGAAGTTTACTTGGATTTTTCAGCTAGTTGGATCCCTTTTAATAGTGCGCAGCTTTCTGGGGGTTTTCAATATTATGGTAGCGAGCAAATCATGCTAAATGTTTCCAACACATTGTCAGCAAACATAAAGCTTCAGATACACAAGCAATATTTTTGCTGTGATGGTTACGCAATGGGTGATAACAGCATTGCGTTGCCGTCGCACAAGGTGGCTACACCTGCAATATATGTCTTCATAACGCTTTTCATTGGCTGGTCAAGAAACGTGTCATTCATCAACCTTGACCTTCCTTGACCACACCTCCCAATTTTCAGCAATCATTGCCGAAAATCAAATGATTTGAAATTTCGGCAACGATTGCGCGCAGCTTTGTGTTGCCGTCGCAGAGCATGATACACAAGCAATTTCTTTCTCGAGACGGCAATGCAACGATTTTTCCACCATTGCATTGCCATCGCCAGAAAAGTATTGCCAGTGTATCCGTAGCTTAAGAACTTTCATTCTTGGCAGGGGGGGGTGAACATCAGATGTTACAAGCACATGTAACAATGGTAACAAACCAACCTTTGATTCAAGCCTCCTTCATCCTTGCTCTCAATGTTAGATTGAACATCTTTTCCAGATTCTGAGTCATCTTTCACTTCCCTAACATGCGTTCCACGTCTCCGATTTCTCGTCCGCAAAGCAATACCGCTCTTCCCATCAGAACTCGTGTCTTCCGCACCACGTTTTCGCGGCGATCTCCTAGGGTTAGACGATGCTTTCGTTGCTATATGCCCCTCGCTTTTAACCAAATCCCCATCTGTTTTCGTCTTCATATCCTCGCCACCATCTAAACTTTCTAAATTCTTCATTTCTCGATCAAAAAGCTCTAAATCGCTTTGTAAGTCTGGTATGGCTCTTGAGTTTTCGTTTGTCGAGTCGGACACATGCTCCCCCGAGAAAATATGGTCATCAGCCATCAGCCTGTCTCGCAAATGGTCTGCCATTTGTTGCTCCGTAAATATAGGACTTATCGAAGGTGAAATGTCCCCTAAATCTACATGATGATCGTCTGAATTTAGTCCACAAAGCGACCAAACACTGCTATTCGAATTTGCAGCAAAGTCCGATGCTATTATACTCGGGTCTTCCAGGCTAACAACTCGGACCTTTTCCTTTATTTTATCCGTGCTATCGTTGCTGTTCTCTGTGTCAATGGCTTCCATATAGTTTCTTTTGTTTTGTAGCAAAAATACACGGCGATACAACCACAAAAAGTACACGAAATTTAGGTTTTAGCAGGGAAAAACTGCAATTTTTTCAAACGCGAAGCTGATACATTGTAACCAAAATTATGTATGTTAATGTATGCAATATTTTCGAAAATTATTTGTAATAATTATGCAAGATTTATGATAATTTATTTATTACACGAATTATGATAATTTTTCCACTTCGCAACCGAGGGATTAAGCGGCATAGATTTCCCTAAGCCCATAAGCTACAGGGGCGAGGGAAATAACTAAAATTTTAAACAGACACATTCATTAATATTCATAGGTTTTAGCGAGCGTTTAAATGGTGCTTCAAATGCTGGTCAACCTTAAATAATAGACCTAGTTATCTATGTTTTTGCCTTGGTTTTATATGCAAGAAATGGTCGGTTCATTGTCATGTGTGTATTGTTTTTTCGCTCAACCAACCAATAGAAGTGCGTTGGTTTAGTTACCATTAGAGAAGTGATGACCATTAGAGAAGGGAGGACCATTAGAGAAGTGATGGGAGAGGGGGGTGGGGAAAAAGCAAAAATAAAAATCGAGCAGGGGAAACAGAAAGACCAAAAAAGTTTGAAATGTACCAAAATGTTTTCGTGTACCAAAAAAGTTTGAAAAAAAATTCGTGCAGAGACTTTTCAATAGGGAAAATTATAAGTTGAAATAAAAAAAAAATTCGTGCAAGGGATTATATTTAAAAAAATTATCGACACAAGCAAAAAATGTAAAAAAAATATTCGTACAAGTTGGAAAAGTCACCCCCCCCCCCCCATCACTTTTCTAATGGTCCGCCTCTCCCCTAATGGTTAAATGAAAACATAGCTATATTGGTTGGTTGGGTTGCGGAAAATGCAATACACGTGCACACATGACGATGAACACGTGCACACATGACGATGAAACTCTTGCGGCTTAAACCAAAGCTTAAACCAAGACATAGATAATGAGGCGAGATGTCAGTATCGAGTTTCCTAAACCTTCTGCTAAATGTTCTCATTTCATGCATGCCATTTAAATACTACCAAACACAAGGTTAAGTGAACAATCTAGCCTTTCCTTTTTAGGCCTCCAGACTGTTACACTTGAAATAAATGAAATACCATATAAGCGCCTTGCTTGAAGTACATACAAACAATTTAAACGCCATTATATATAAAGAATTCTTTCTAAAACTTATAATTGCATCAAACCCAGCGCCTTCGAAGCGCCGTCGTATTGACTTTATGTGATAAGCTGTTTCCGTTTCGTTCCGATATGAAAATTTACAGATCAGTGGTGCAATCAGTCAGTGTCCAATATGCAAAACTGGCCCAAAATACATCTCCCCCATCGCGAAAATACACAACCCACTTTCGGGGTCTGGCAATATCTGAAACATCTCTTCATCTGTCACGAAATACAAGACAAAATAATTTAAATTTTTCACACTTTATTTTGTTTCAAATTTTTTGTCGACATACTTGTCGTGAATAAATAAATAAATAAATAAATAGTAGAATAAAGATAGTTAAATCATTACGATTCTAGTTGTTTCTGAAAGAGACTTAAATTTACTTGCTTACTTACTGGTCCATAACTAACTGAAACTGGTACTCATTCATTTGAGTAAATTGAGAGTGACAAAAGTGAGACTTTAACTTTATACATGTCATGAGAGTCAGTGTCTTTCCTGTACGAGTGACTACGAGACACTAGTCCATAACAAGTTAGTCCCAAGTCCCAAACAGAAGCTGCTACTCATTCATCAGCTGAGTCAACTGGGAGAGAATACAAGGGTGGCTTTACTTTATATACATGAGAGTCAATGACTTCCCTACAGAGTACAGGTACGAGACACTAGACTCTAGAGAGTTTAAGCTTCGTGTTATACGTCAAACGGCAAACGCCAGGCCAGGCAAAGAAAAATTTTACGGTATCAAGCAATAAAGAGTAAATGAACTTGTTGTCTCAAAACTGAAATACATAATTATTCTTTCGACGCAAAAGAAAGAAAATATGAAACGAAAACGTTCAACGAAAATTTTGCCAAGAAAGTTCGAACGTGCCGTTCGCCGTTCCCGGAAACGTCAAGCTTAAACTGCCAACTTTAGTCCATCACGGCAGCCGGGAGCCAAGCTGTGAATCACAGGTTAGCTCCCAACAGAAGCTGGTACAGCTACTACAGCTCATTCATCAACTGAGTCAACTGGAAGAGAACATAAGAGAGACTTTACTTTATATACACGAGAGTCCCTGTACAGACACTAGTCCATCACAAGTTAACCAGAGAGTCAATGACTTCCTTGGCTTGAGAGTTGAGACGTGACCCTACAAGCACCCACGCCAGAAAACGTATTGCAGTACCTAGGCTTCATCACTCATGAGTCCTGAGGAAAAGTCATAATGCTCATTCATGTCATTCAACAATAATATCCACTTTCACTAAAACGTGAGCAAGTCGTTAATTAGTATTTGGGTGTGTTTTTCGTGTGGTGTGCATAATATTAAACTACGTCTTCTGATATACACATCCTGTGTGACTTGGCACTAGTGGGTAGTATACTTCAAACTTACTTCAAACCTAGTAATAGTACTCTTCAAGCGTCCCGTCCTTTTCAATTCTCTCAGTTCATGAATCTTTAATAATTATTTTACAATGCATTTTTATCATTCCTCAGAGCAGAAGTGATACCCTGGCGTTTTCAAGATCTTTGTAATACGAGGAAGTAATACGGCCTCATACAGATTGCACCATGACCATGTTCAGTCAGATATTCCTGGTACAATAACTCTGCCACAAATGTTATATTTTGATACAATCCTTCGAGATAACATAGTAACATATTTCGATGTTTAGAGAACCCTCTATAACAACCTAAGTGTGTTTTTTTTTCTCATAATCTTAATGTCTAATCCGGAATGATTTGTCAATGAAAAAATTTTCCCAACTTTGTAGGCGTTGTGATAAAATACTAAAAATACTAAAATAGACTGTAATCATTAATTTGGATGGATGGGTGGGAAGAGCGGACGGAGTTCATTTTGAAAGAATCCTTTCGTCGAGACGAGAAGTCTGTTCCCATAATTTTTTAAAAACTCTTCTGTGTTCTCAGAATAAAAACCAGCTGCCAATTCGGCTCAATACTCAATAATGTTTCAGGATATAAAAGTATAAATATATTAAAAACCCTGTTTTTAGGACGCAAATACCATTCATGTATGTTTGCTTGCTTGCTTGTATATTGAATTGTCTGGCGTCAAATGTTTCGAATTTCAGTATTGACGTTTCTAACAGCCTCCTTCAAGTTCACTCAGAATATTGGGCAATACGGATGTCACAATCGAACATGAAAATGCCCAGCCTCTGCCCTGGAAAAATTCCCTTTTAATTCGGCTTTCAATTTCACATTCTATCGCGTTAATTAACGAGGGGATATTCGACACTCTTTCCAAGTAATGATGTGTAATAGTGTACGAAAGTACAAATTTAATAATTCCCCAAGGGAAAGTAAATTTTTTTCGAGTTTCGAAATAACCCAAAACAGCTTGCTTACCTCATGCCGATTAACATGTCAATACGAAGGAAGGGGGTTGACCGGAAATGACATCATTATATACCTCAACCCGGCGCTCTGATTGGCTGCGGTATAAATAGAATGTTACTGATTGGCAGTTCTAATGATGTCCATGGAGTGTGAAATATTTTGTTAAAAATGCACGAATTTCATTCGGCAAACAAAGTAGATTGATTCAAGCAGTTCTTGAGTCTATTGCGGAGAAATTATTAAAGATCGCGAATCGAATTATACGAAATACATAACCTACAAACTCCAGTAATGAGAGGAGTGATTTTGGTAGCGTTATTCGGCTATTTGGCGGTTGTTTTGTATGCCGAAAGCGAGCCTACAAAGCAAGTAAGCTCAGGCAGTGGGGATGGCATCGACGATCAAGTCATTTATATAACACCGACAAATGGAACAAAACCTCCGACGGATTCGACGGACGATTATGGCTCGGGAGTTGACGATGAAGACGACGAGGATTATGGAAGTGGAAGCGCTATGTCTTCTACAACAGAAACGTTTACAACAGAAACGTTAACAACAGAAACGCCGACAACAGTACGGGAATCGACAACAACCGAGGAAGAAACGACAACCGAAGCGGCGGCAACATCAACAACAACAATTATAACACCCGATGATGACGATTATTACAGTGGTAGCGGCAGTGGATCAGGTGTAAGCTCTACCAGACCCCAAGACGAAACAACTACAGCTTCTACTGACATTTACATTTCTACAGAAACGAGTACAGTCGACGATGTAAACGCTCTCATCACACGAGTCCAAAATAACATCGTTACCACAGCCGAGTCGACGAAACAAGAATCGACTCGCAGTCTTTTCAAAACTACCCAGAAACCTGCTTCGACAACACCTCCTAGAGTCCCTATGACTGACAGTTGGACAAGAGAGTCTGCGACAACCACAACCACAACCGAATCGGTTGAAACGACAACACAGGCGAGTACGTCGCGGCTTATAAAAACTGAGGAGACGACTACTGAACAGTACAGGGGGCAATCTACTGAAGAGAAAGGGATCAATAAATTGTGGACGAGCACAAAGTTCACAACGAAACAAAGTGTTGAAACCACAACACCGTCAGAACCCGCTAAGATGGCACTTACTAACAACAAGAAAGAACCTGGCTTCACATTGACAACAGAAGTTATAGCTGGGGTCGTTGGATGTGCTTTACTTGCCCTACTTTTGATCGCTTTCCTTATGTATCGGCTGAAGAAACGAGACGAAGGCAGCTACCTTTTGGATGAGTCAAACGCATATCCCGTTGACTACAAAAAATTCCATGTTTCTGACAAGGAGGCGTTCATATAGAGTTTTTATAACTCTGTGTTTCACGACGTTGTGTTGGTTGGAACTTTTTACAAGAAAGTATATTTTGTACCGAATATATGGACCGATTAAAATGACGGTTTGGTATGAGGCATATTTTGAAAAAATACCTTGCTTATATAGGTTGCCATATTGGTATATAACAATCTTCTATAATATTAACAATATACTTAAGTAGCTTAGAACTCGTTGAAAAAAAAAATTGTTGATACTTTTTATTTATGAATTATGAGGGAATTTATTTGCCCAATGGCCGCAGAATCTTGCACTTTTAAAGCTTAAAAAGCGAAGAAAGAAACACATTTTTAGAGACTTTAGAGCCCCAACCACGTCTGTAGTTTTATATTGTAGTTTATTTGAGTTTTAGTTTGTGTGATTTGTACTGTATATATTTACTAAATCTGTATAACTCACGTTCGTTTTGTTACATTTGAGAAATCCTAAGTGGATATTATCGCTAGGAACGTTTATACAGAGCATAATATATAATGAATACTAACAACTAATCTATAGTTCATGTATAGCAACGCTGAGTCGCAAAATACTTTAATATAACAGTACTCTATTTTTTTCTATATCACTAACTATTAAACATTTTCCACATGTATTTTTAAATATAAAAATATACATTTATGAAAAACCATATTTGTTACATATTTAGCACAAGTGTGGAGCTGTTTTCTCCCTAAAAAGGACTGATTTTCTGCGCTAGCTTGTAAACGCGACAGGGATGTAGCCAAATCAATGGGAGACACTTTACCAATATAGAATGTTTATTGTCTCAGGATTTTCGGATTGTTTTGGCTCTTAATTTGTCTGCCTATAAAATTGGCTAAACCCTCAGTTGGGCTTCTTGAAAGCCGCTTTTCCTTACCACAATGTTCAACACGAATGTATCTTTCGTGTATGTGTTCTTCGGGAATCCTTGCTTTATTCGCGATTTTAACACAAACAAAGTATTCGGCGGTGCGGAAACTTGGTTCGATAAACATTTTGTTCTGTTATTCAATAGAAATCGTTATTTCTGCCCGACCTAATTAAAGAAAGCATTGTCGACTCGTGTTCAGCAAGCGCTTCCCTTTATGTATTGTCTGTTGATAAACAATTTTGCCTGTAGGCTCTTACATAAATACCCGGCACGAACGCATTCTATTTCTTGACGTATTTCATTTTCGCTATTTTTTTCCAAATTGCTTTGGAAATTAACGTTTCTATTTCATGAATGAATAATGAATGGGACACACATATTTGCACACAAATTCTCTCAATTGTGCGTTTCAGAATTCAGTTATTAAGTTCAATTCAATTGAAGAGTGCTATTCGGCCTATACCAACGCTGAGAACCAACCGTTTGAAGTTCTTTAAAAGGATATACTACAGCAGGACTCTATCACGAAACCAAAGAATGAGATTCGATCATTTTCCATACCTACGCTGAGAACCAATTAGTGAAAATTGGCCACAAAGTGGGAAACCCAAAATAAATGTTCTCAAGGAGCAGTACCTACGACAATCCATGAGAAACAATCAGTTGAAGTGTAGGTTGTGTATCTTAGGACTACTACCTACACCGGGCAACAAAGGACATGCATTTAGCTCAGAATGAACAAGGTAAATTAAGCACAAATGTATTACGACGGTGCGTATTTCTTTCGAAACTGTTGGTCAATGAATTGTCTAACCTGAAGGTTCTATCATATCATAGATTATATGTACACAGGAAATTAGAAAATTTGATTATTTACATTGACAGACATGCTTCATCCCTCTCAGCCCTCTAACCAATTAGCGATTTTAAATTTATCAGTTCCGCTTTGCTCAAACTGACCAATAAGATATGATCCTTCGACCAACTTAGAAGATGACCTTCCTGGAATCTTGGCAACACTGGATCCTTACCGGACCTCTAGAGAGAACTGTTTCTACAAGTTTACCAGATAAAATTGCTACGAGATTGTTCCCCGCCTTGCATCTCTCTATAAAGTGGATACCCTCTCAGCTTGCAGCATTATTTCACTGAGCGTCTTTGCTAATCTCGACTTGTTCACTGACGACGTAAACTTCTTGCCATCCCAGGATTCGGTTATGAACGCGTTCTCTATGGCTTGGTTCCCTTGTGTCTTCTGAAGGGCATCCAGAACTAAGCCAGTCAGTTTATCGCCAGTATAACTTTCCTCTAAAGCAAGAAAATATGGCTAGGAAACAATGTTTCATGCTTTGAATACCTTTGGGAAACATGGCTAGGAAACGACGTTTCATACTTTGAATACCTTGGATGAGATTATTTCGCTGGCCTCAGAGTGACAAAACGTAACAAAGCAACGATTTTACTAACACTCTACTCCAAACACCAACCCTATAATCCTTACCCTAACCCTACTGCAAATTTGTTTCTAAACCAATCTTGAAGAAAAATGTTTTGACGAAATGTCATTCTGAGGTCAGCGAAATAACTTCTTCCGAATACCTTTGGGAAACATGGCTAGGAAACAACCTTTCATACTTCGAATACCTTGGCTTGGAAACAATGTCCCACCTCCGGGAAGTATTACTAGGAAACAATGCTTCCGGTCTTGCCCACCCTTAGGAAATATGGCAATAGGAAACAATGCTTCTTGGTCTGCCAATATTCGAGAACATTGTTTCCTAGCCATGTTTCCCAAGAACATGCAAACCAGCAAAGATTTTTTCCTCACTATGTTTTGTGAGGGTAGATAAACTAGTAAACATTGTTTTTCAACTATGTTCTCGAATATTGGCAAACCAAGAAAGCATTGTTTCCTGGCCATGTTTCCCAAGCTAGAATGGGCAAACCAGCAAAGATCTTTTTCCTAACTATGTTTTGTGAACTAGGAAACATTGTTTCTCAGCTAATGATTGACCCTAGGGCTAGGCAGAACGCCAAACGATGTTTTGGGGAGTGGGTAAGTCCTATAAAGGCGAGAAGTATTTGAGAAAGAATGTCAACATACGTATGATATTCGGGTGCACAGGTTTCATCATCAAACAAAAAGCAATGATATCACGAAGAGCCTTGGCAGCGAGCAGACTGAACTGAGAGTTATCTTGTTGAGATAGAACTGTCGTGCCTTCGTCTTCCTCATTTGATTTCAGTTTCACTTTGTCTTTGGAATTCCTTCAGGAACAACATAAAGTAAACGTTGATGACACAGGCTTTAGTGCATGTGCCGTATCCCATTGTCCGATTATAATTTCACCTCGATCGCAAATACTTCCAGTTTGACTCAACAAACATGACTGATTAGGGATGAAGAGATGATCCTTACTGGACCTCTAGGGAGAACAGTTTAGAACTGATAGAGTTATCCAGTATAAATAAAGTTAGTTTAGTTTAGACTTCCTCTTGTAGCAACACTGGATCAATAAGAGATGATCCTTATACTGAACCTCTAGACAGAACAGTTTAGAACTGGTAGAGCTATCCAATATAAATAAAGATAGTTTAGTTTGAACTATACTCACTCGTTATTGGCAACGTGAAACGCTTTTCTTTTCATTATAATAGGATTTTTCGACAGTTCAATCGGTTTTAGTCGAATTTGTTTACTTGCCAGTCTCATGTTTGTCAGTTCCGCTGCATGACCGTCCATGACATCTTTAAACGCACCCTAGAAAATACACAAAGCCATTTGAAACTAAATTAACTTTATTTATACTGGATAGGTCTATCAGTTCTAAACTGTTCTCCCTAGAGCTCCAGTAAAGATCATCTCTTATTGATCCAGTGTTACTACAGGAGGAAACCTAAACTAGACTAACTTTATACTGGATAGTTCTATCAGTTTTAAACTGTTCTCCCTAGAGGTCCAGTAAGGATCATCTCTTATTCCGGCATGCAGTGTCACTACAGGAGGAAACCTAAACTAACTTTCTTTATACTGGATAGGTCTATCAGTTCTAAATTGTTCTCCCTAGAGGTCCAGTAAGGATTTAACAAATATAAAACATTTTCCGTGTTGATATACAGTTATATCAACACTCGTGGAAATTAGGAAAACGAGAAATTGTGTTGGAAACACGACGCCCGAAGGGCGGAATGTTTTCACACAACTTCGAGTTTTCCCAATTTCCACGAGTGTTGATATAACTATATATCAATACGGAAAAAATGTTTTATATTTGTTTTATAATAATAATATAGCACAAAGAAATATAAAGAAAGAAATTTTCCGACGTTTCCGTGTTGACATTGAGTTAGGGAGCGGTCATTATTTATGGCGAGGTGTGGTACCGAAGAGAAAAAGGGTTGGGTAAACAAAAATTTGAGTGAGTAAAAAGTTGGGTAAATGAAAAAGAAAACAACTCAAGGGTTGGGTAGTCAAAAAAATTATTGTCATTTCCAAAGCATGACTCACTGAAATATTGGAGACTGAAAAGCAATGTCAACAGTGATATGTCAATACAATATGTGAATCAATCAGAGTCATTATCTTGATCATTTCAGTCCAATTTGTTGCAGACAACATGAAACTTTAGAAAATTTCACAAGTCGTTATCAAACTCATGTCACAAAAATGGTAAAGGACATGTGTGACAACTGAATGGTTTTCACTTTGTAAAGTTTTTGGCCAGGGGTGGGTATTTATTTTTTAATTGATATTTGAGGTTGGGTAATCAAATTTTTGACTTTTTAATGGTTGGGTCAGCAAAATTTTTGCCACAAAAAAACATTTCTCTTCGGTGCCACCCCCCACCATAAATAATGACCGGTCCCTTATATCAACACGGCTCTTAGCCAATCATTGTTCAGAATTTACAAATGCTATATTATAACATCCTTTATTGATCCAGTGTTACTACAGGAAGAAAGTTGAGTATCTGGAGGAAATCTGTGGTGTTTGGTAGAGTCAAACTGGAAGTACTCTTCTCACTACATGTGACTGAGGTGAAATTATAATCAAACAACTTCACACTGTGTAAAAAAAATCGAACCCTTATCGCAGAGATGAAGACGCATGCGCTAACCGCTGTGTCACAAACTCTATGTATTACTAACATCGTCAGCAATGATTTTCGGAGTAAAGAGAACGGTGTCAGGAATATTGTCATTCTGAATCCAGCCATGTTCCAGAAACTCGTCAATTGTCATTCGACGGTTTGGTTCAACGCATAACAACCTACCAAAATTAATAATGATAACTGCTTGATCAGATGGGATCTACTTCTATATATCATAACCCTTATCCTGTCCAAAGGAAACACGCAACTTTCAATAGGGCGTTGGTTCACTCTTTTCATAAGATGTCTTAAGTCAGGAGGGAGAATCAATGTTTTCGAAGTATATTTTCTTTAACCAAAATTCGTCCACACGGAACGTCCGTCTCTAATATAAATCATGCCTTTGCAAATTGAAAAACACCAGGATTCGTTGGACTTTTGAAGTTTTCTTGCAACGATAACTTTTCATAGACGAATTTTCCAGTAATTGTTTCCTCCACCAAAAGGTTATGTTTCCATCAGTGTCTGTATGTGTGTATGTCTGTTTGTGTCTGTTAGCATGATAAATCAGCCCTTTTAGTTGAAAAAACTAACTAGGAAAATCAATTAAGCATAATTCAAGATCATCAAACTTCAAATGTTTTTAACATTTTAAAACATTTTTATTGTTAAAAACATCGAGTTTACTGATCCTGAATTATGCTTAATTGATTTTCCTAGTTAGTTTTTTCAATAGGCAATTCCAGCTTTTAGTTTATGCGTGCAGGGGACGATGGGAAGTAAGGTATCACATTGCTGAATATGCTGAAAAAATAAAAATGGTGGCCCTGTAAACACGGAGTGATAGCTTATACTTGTAAATATTAAAATATTTCGGTTGTTTTTATTGAAATTTTTCAGCATAATCAGCAATATGATACCTTACTTCCCATCATCCCCTGCAGTCATAAACTAAAAGCTGGAATTGCCTATTGTTAATAAAAGGGCTGAAATGCGCCTTAAAAGTTAAACAATCATTCAAAAGGCTGAACTGTGCCTTTAAGTAGTATCAAACGTATTCATACGAAAATGTGTCCATTTTCCAAGGACAAACTGATTAAATTTTGGTTAAATTTGAATGGAAATTGAATGGGAAATTAGTAATAGTGTCTTGTTTTGCCCAGCAGGGTGAACAGAATGCGTAATTAGCCCATTGTATAATTTATGCATGATACATAATTTAATTCTCTGACGTAGATATGCAGTCTCCTGGGCAGGAAAAAGATTTTTCTTCCTGGGAGCACAACCTGGAGACAAAAAATTTCCTGCAGACCAACGGAGTATTTTTGTGCTAAATCTGCATGTGCATAAACATATAGTGTTCTAGCTGACCATGGTTTTAAATTCAAGGAATAATGTCTGTCAAACATATGTTGTTGCGCCCATAGTGGAATATGGGTGTCAAGGTTTCCTTCAAATTTTCAATAGCAAATCTTCATTCAAACGAATTTCCTGCAGCTGTTTAACATTTCCTGCGAGCAGTGCTCTGATCGCGTGCTTGTCTATTTTTCCCACTCCTGGCAGTCTCTGAGAGCCCTCTATATTTACCTGTTGATGCAGTCCTTAGCTTGTTTAGAAACTTTCGACCATTCCTTATCAGGAAAGTCATACTCGCCCGCTGCAATCTTGCGTCTCATTCCGTGAGACATTTGTTTGCTGGGAACTTCAGAATAGAATGGCGGATATCCGCATAACATGACATAAATAATCACTCCTAGCGACCAGAGATCACACGTCTGGGAAGAAAAAGAGGGGAGGGATGATGCACTCTTTGACAACACATGAAACCTTTTACATAGTTGAACAAAAATTAAACTGACCTTGTCGTAGGTGTAAGGTTTTTTCAAGTAAGGATATTTCCCGCTTTTCTGAGCTCGTAAATAACGTTGAGCTTCAAGCACCTAGAAATATAGCTCTTTCAGTTCCAAACCGTTCTCCTTAGAAGTCCAGTAATGACCTTCCTTTATTGATCCAGTGTTACTGCAGGAAGAAACATAAACTAAACTAACTTTATTTATATTGAATAGGTCTATCAGTTCTAAACTGTTCTTCCTTGAGGTCCCGTAAGGATTATCTCTTATTGATCCAGTGTTATTATAGGAGGAAACCTAAACTAACTTTATTTATACTGGACAGCTCTATCAGTTCTAAACTGTTCTTCCTAGAGGTCCAGTAAGGCTCATCTCTTATTGATCCAGTGTTACTACAGGAGGAAACCTAAACTAAACTAACTTTATTTATACTGGATAGTTCTGTCAGTTCTAAACTGTTCTTCCTAGAGGTCCAGTAAGGATCATCTCTTATTGATTCAGTGTTAATACAGGAGCAAACCTAAACTAAACTAACTTTATTTATACTGGATAGCTCTACCAGTTCTAAACTGTTCTTCCTAGAGTTCCAGTAAGGATCATCTCTTATTGATCCAGTGTTACTACAGGAGGAGACCTAAACTAAACTAACTTTATTTATACTGGATAGCTGTATCAGTTCTAAACTGTTTTCCCTAGAGGTCCAGTAAGATTCTTATTGATCCAGTGTTACTACAGGAGGAAACCAATGATGTTTGGTAGAGTCAAACTGGAGCACTCTTCTCATATGCAACTGAGGTGAAAGTATGATTATAGGACTCCAACCCAATGGTCACAGAGATGAGAGACACATGTACTAAGCATTGTGCTACCAAAAACTGGCAATAAAGTAGCTTCAAAGCGCACTACAGGCTAACAGGCTGACAGCTAGCTCTCTACCTGAGGTGAAGCATAGTATGGTGTAAACTGAGGAGTAATCAGATCGCCACGATCAACTTTTGCAAAACCAAAGTCAGCGATTTTCACATGAATGCTTTCTGTATTCTCTTTCAGGAGCAAATTTTCAGGTTTTAGATCTCTGTGAGCCACGTTGAACGAATGAATGTGGTGCAGACCCACGCCAATCTGGTGAAGAATGAGTGTAGATACTGCGGTTTGTGTATTTTAAATATAACTAACTGAACATCACAATGTTTCCAGTGAAGAGCTTTGTCAGGGCATATTAGTACTAGCAGCCGAGGGGAAAGAGACTTGTTGTCTGGGAGAGTTTGAAATCTTTTTCACAAAATTCAGTACAGTAAGCTAACCACGTCACAAAAACCTTGCTATCTATGTCAATAAATTATGTGTAACTCAAAAATTTCACTAGCTCTCCTTAAACTCTGCACTTCATGACTCCAAGAAAATCAGCACCCATCATAATATTAAACATCATTTTGCTCGGGTTGCTTTTAAAAGAATTTGAAAGAACCATGAAATGAAAAGTGTTGTTTCTTGTTCAAAGATTATTGTATTGGTTGTACTCCATTGTAGAGGAATGCCTTTAGAGCAAAATAACCAAGGAGAGCAAAATAACCAAAATAACCAATTTGCCTTTAGAGCAAAATAATCAAAATAACCAATTACAAGGAGAAAATTGCAGCTACGATATACATTTTTTGTCATGCAATTACAACAACTTTACCTGCCAGGAGTGCAACTAACCTGCTTAGCGACCTCTCTCGCTTCTTTCTCTGTAAAACGAACGTGGTTTCTGATTTTTTCAAAAAGTTCACCTCCCTCCATGAGCTCCATGATCAGAAATATCCTTGCTCTGAATTCAGATCAATGATAAAACACGATTAATTTGCTTCAATGTAACTTACGTTTAATCATGAAGTATAGCTTACATTGGTCTTGTTTCTCCTGGTAAAGCCATGGCATTGGCATAAACATCAACTACGTTGACAATGTTTCGATGACCACTGCACATGAAATGAACTTTAGCCTGAAGAATACAGATGGAAGAGTTCAAATACAGAGGTTATTAAATGTATTATAATGGCGGGTGTTGCAGACACCCTTAGCCCTGGCCAGAGGGGGTGGTTCAATCTTTCATCATGATAAAGCAAAAATATTGAAGACAAAATGAGATACTGCAACAGTAATTTGACTATTAAATAACATGATGATAAGCAAACTGTGAACAACAATTACAATTCAAATGCAGTAGTCACATACAACTTTGTAGTAGTCAAGCAAGTTGATGGCCAGGTGGCACAGCTAGATGGCCAACACAACTCAGCACCAGAGAACAACAGCCCCCCCCCCCCTTTCCTCCTGTATTATGGTAAAAAAAGACATACTTCCTGCCTTGATCTTGTTGAATCAGTCAAACATTTCATGGCAAACATTTTGCCGGTTTCTTTGTTTGTACATAATCTAGAAAATAGGTGGAGTCAGTAAGTACTTTATACCATGCATGAACCCAAACAGCACATATAATATATTGACATTTTGTCTGACACTTAAAAAGGGATAAATGTAATTTCCCCCCATCACATGTACCTAACTGGGCCACTGATGCCAGAGCCCAATTTTTTGTTCCAGTGAATTCGGTAGTCCAATTCTATCGGTCGTTCCTAGAGAAAACAAGATTATTTTACATTAGTCGTCCAGTGCTGTAGCCAATGAAATAATTCTACATGCTTTCTTCTAGAAAGAGTCTTAAAAGTCACTAAAAATAGTTATGCAATGCATACACTAGATCATGTGACTCATTACATGACAAATTACACCAAAGCGCATATGGAATATTTCTTAAAGATGCTGTAAAGTCCGTTCTGCGCATATATTCTGTGCATCAACACATTCCATCAGTGGGGGAGCAACCTTTGGAATGTTGTTAATATTTCGCACCTTCCAAACTTTCTTGAATTGAATTTCTAGTCTGCATTCATTTACAAGCATAGCGAACCGGAAGAGTGTTAAAAATTCAGTATAATATATATCTATAATCATATTTTACAACTGTAGCACTGAGTTCAAAATGTAAACAAAGCGTAATTTGTTTACATTACGGACTTTACATCACCTTTAAATATTTTTAATTGTGGTTCACAAAATAACGTCACAGAATAAGGTACACAGAAGGCCGACTTCTTTGTTTTTCCTATGATTCTGGCATAACCGTAATTCGACATCAAAATGCTGACGCCATGGTCCTAGCCAGTGCGCGTTTGAGAGGCATTCACCCCCCTGATAATATTCAAATTGGCGGACGTCCAGGGGGAATGCCTCTCAAACCCGCACTAGCTAGCTGGCTAGGACCATGGCATCAGCATTTTGCAGATGAATCATGCTGTGGCAGCAGTTACTCGAGTCTACCTTCTGTGTGCCTTATTCTGTGATAACGTGTACAATACTTTTAATTCTGGTTTTGTAGTGCCATCCGGTCATGATCCAGTAATCACAATGTTCCATAGTCTTTTCATTGTTAATTGAAAATCCCATTGTTCTCCATGCCACCCAGTCACTCATTGTCTTTACATATTTTAACATTGATGCAAAGGGCTGTCATAATAGTATACCGCACACACATAAATCCGAACGTATATAATAAAATTATATTATTACGAAACCAAAAATTATAAAATAAAAATTTATTTACCTTAATGCAGACATCCTGTGTATCTTCGATTTTTGAAGCCATATTTCGTTATGTTTTCTTGCAAGTTAAGGCCATAAGCATTTTAAACAAAATCTCAAGTGCTTTTCATAAAGTTTTTCAGGGAAATCGAAGTACTTTCTGTGGAAAATAATGTGGAATTTCATTTTCGATTTTCGAAATTCTAATGCGCCCGCAAAATATTTAAAGGGCTGAGGAAACGTCGTGTAATGTTAATGAAAGTCTTCGTCTCCGGATAAAATGCTTTCCTGTTTCCACCTTTCGTCATTGCGAACAAGACCTTAGATAAGACATATTTGGACCGATGGCGCAGGCGACAGTAGACAAACAACAACAATGGTTTGGTTTTCTTATTATTGCGTGCCCTTACGGCATCAGAAACCAAATCCGATATGTTGGATTGTGGAATGCTTTTACCTTCAATCTTAACCTCTCCCGTATTATCCCACGTAACAAGATCGGGACGTGTCTTTCGGAACCGTTTCCACAACCATTGCATCCGGTAACATATTACTTTTTAAATTTGGGCCTCCAAAAGGTAATCGGTGTGGTTGGGAAACATCTGTCTAGCCAAAGTGCTAACGCCTAACGAATCGCGCGGGTTTCGAAATATCAGCATGTAATAATAAACACAACCCCGTGTTCGCAAAATCTCAGTATATTCTTAAAACCGGATAAAATTCTCTCTCCCGACTTTCTTCGGGTAAATTTGGTTCCTTATCACCCGCTCTGCTCATGTTCAATAAAATCTCTGCAGCTGAACTTTCCATTTCTTTTATAAACAAAAAAACAGCAGCTAATGGCTTCCAAACCGTAACCTTTCTTCTTGCCGCGGTCACAGAATAGAAAATAGACCAGAAGCCTCACCAAAGAGTAAAGAAAAAATGAAAGAAACATAGACAGGGGCATTGAAGTTTGCTCGTTTTCGGGTTGGACAGAAATGGTTGCGTGTACGTGTTGTTTGATTGTGTAATTATAGGCGAAGCTAAATAAATAAATAAATAAAATATATACTTCCTCTGTGGCCTAACCACAGATGATAGATAATACCAGATGACTCACTGTGTATTTATTCCTATGATTTTCGTGTCCGCGATTTTCGCGAGGCTGATCACGAATGGACCTTTCCCCTTATAACTAAAATTTCGATCTAGACAAAAATTTCATCACAGCTTGAAAGAGCATCACGAAATTAGTAATATTCCAAAGTTTTGTATTATACAAACACGAAATTTGCATAAAATATGTATATATATATATTCTGAAGCTATAAGATAAAGAATAGAAAGA